GTTTGAGATATGTTTATGAAATTTGGAACACATATTTATCTCGCAAGTCTCAATATATGAACCAAATTTGACAGGTTTGTGTGATAGAGTTTTTGAGTTATGAGGGGGTCAAAAGTGGCTCCAAATGGTTCGTGTAAATATACACACGGTGCTGCAAGCCAGTTTACTTGAAACTCGGCTTGACACGCTACCGCGTGTCTAGATATTATGTCAACTGTGCTCTGTAATCAACGGCAGATCCATGGGGAGGGGGAGGGGGGTCATGGGGGTCATGATACATGATGTCAACGTTACCCGGGACAGCTAACATATAAACGAATTGACAGTATTCGTAAAATCTTTTAAGAGATAGCTGGATAGAATATACTTTATTTGCAACATACAGTAAAGAAGAAGCACAAAAACCTTTGCAATAAGGTGGCCTTATTGTTAAAAGCAATATTTTCAAGGCAACCTTAGGGAAACGGATTGAAATATCGAACAGGTAGGTAAAATGACATGAACAGGAGAAAACTAAAAGGTAACAAATATATAATGATGATGAAATAAATATTATATGAATTAAAATTTATGTTCATAATAATAATCATATATCAAACTAGATACACTCACATAAACTACATACATATTATAAACACATACATAATTAATTACTTTTAATTACTTTAAATAAAAATAAACAATAAAAATTTTAAAGTACGATGACCTACAACCCAAACAAGATATCGGGGAATACCGTACCACTACATTACAATAATTATTTACAATTTATCCTTAACAGTAATACTACTCATGATAAGTTAAATAATTACTAAATATATCTAACTATCCAATCTGAGAAAACAGACGTGAAGGTATTGTACATATAGACAGATAAATATCAATCTAGTAACAAATAGTTTGAAGACGAAAAGTTACAGTGTTTGAAAATTTGTAGAATTCGAAAAGATATCGCTGAATCTAAATTACATATGGATGTGTTTATAAGGACAGAGGAAGGCCGAAAAAGAAATGGATGGCTGTGTGAACGATGATTTGGTTAGAAATGGAGTAAATAACAAGATGACTGCGAACAGTGATGAATGGAAGAGAAAAACATTACGCCGACGCCAAATAAATGGGGTAAGGTAGAAGCCGATGATTGTGATGATGAAGATCACTGAATCTAAGTAGGTATTTATATAGTTGAGTTATATTTATTTATTCTTATGAGTAACTTAAACAATGTAATATCTCGTTATGGAAGTAAACGTGTACAAAGTGAAATATATAAGATGTAATTTTTATAGCATAGGGCACATATGAGCTTGCAGCTCACCTGATGGTAAGTGATTACCGCCGCCCATGAGCACTCTCAATAACAGGGGAAATGCAAGTTGCTGGCCTTTTAACAAGGAGTAAGCTCTTTTCTTGAAGGTTTCTATATTGTATCGTTAGGAATTAACATTGCTAGAACGTACTCAAATTCAAAATATCTTTATTCATGTAGGTCTATTACAGACTTTTATGATATGTCAAATCTACCGTCAGTTCGGAATGATTTCGAGATGAGAAGAACTCAGCTCGTATTTTTTTTTTAAATGTTGTACATATTTACAATAATACAGATTCATTTAAATTCAAATTTGGGAGAATAGAGTGACTACCAGCATATGCTATTGAAAAAAAAAAGAAACAATAAATCTAATCAATGTTTGCAACCTGAACAGAACAAGCACCACCCCTTCACGAGTATGACGGATGAGCCACTTTAGCTAGCGATGAGCTACTTTTATTAATAGTAATGACTATAATGTACCATGTGAGAAGCCATAAATAAAAAGTTCTAAAAAAACTCACGGTGGAGGACTGTCATTCATCCAGATGATTAGGATGGTATTTTAGTTTGTGGTGAATAGTACGATATTGAAATTTAGCACTTGATATTAATCCGAACAGTTCCTCAGAACACTCTCTGTGATATATGCAGTGGAAAATGTGACGCAAAGTTTCGCTGTAAAGCCAATGAGTCGAGCTATAACAAAGACAATGGTCGCTGAAAAATGTTTTACTATCTATTAATAAAATCAAATCAAAATATCTTTATTCATATGTCTGCTATATACTGTTATGGTATGTTTATTAATTATATCGTTAGTAGATATGTTGATGACCTATGAGATTAGTGGTATAATTAGCCTTTTAACATATTGCCATATGGTATCGAATCCGTAACAATCGGAAGGCGATTGTCACGGATTCGATTCCGAACAAATAATTATATTTTTCACTATGACTGGTTGCAGTACTTTGAATGATTTTTTATTTCCTTTTATTATATTTAATTTACAGTCAGGAACTAGATGTCGAACATTTGTTGTATTAAAAGTTACTTATAATAATTATAATAATAACAATCTCAGGACAATTAACACAGCGTCATCTAGATCCAAGTTAACCTAGCTAAAGCTTATATTATGGGTACTAGATAACTGATACAAATACATAGATATATTTTTTTTCATAAATACATACATATTACACATAAAAAACACCGATACAAACAATCATACTCATGAATATAAATGTTTAAGCCGTGCGAGGAATCGAACCCGCGACCATCAGAACTAAGGCGATGTGCTAAACCGCTAGACCACCGAGGCAGTCGCTGCTATGAGTCTATATTGTTTTATGCCTTTTTTTAATTAAAAGAAATACATATGCTAAAGAGATATGTACATCAAACCATATTAAGATTTTATATCACTTCTTTCGTTTCAACGGCAACTAAATATAGTTTCCCCAGAACGTTGCGACCACTTTTGCGCATTCTGCACCTCTTAGATCTTCCTTTGTGCAGGATATTGGGCACAAAGGACCTGTCAATAGATCAATAGGTCAATTTCATATCATTGTATGACAATAACAAAGATAAACATATTATGTTGATAATCAAATGTGGCTGGTTGTAAGAGCATCGAATCTATAATTAGTCATGATTGTTGATGATATAATCTTAATATTGATATAATCATCACTATCTAACCGCAAACCACAGACTCCCATAACCATTACCTACATTGAGGAAATATCAATTATAAAAATAACAAATACTGACAGTAAATAATAATTTTACTTATTTAATGTCAGCATTTATTATATTTTCCATTCAAACAATAAAGTTAGATTATTAGAAATAGATAGAAATAGAAATAATCTTTATACAAACAACCTTAACACAAGCACTTTTTATTCGATTCTACCACTTTCGGAACGCAGACTCATCACAAGAAGAGTGAGTAAGAAACTTGAGTATTGCTTTTTGAAAAAAAATATTGTCTTAGCTAAATTTTATACATAATAACAAGGAGGAGGTATGCGACAATCAACAAAAATATTATTTGAACATATAATGCTTTATGCAATCCGATAATACTGTCAACACTATGAATTAGGTAATTTAAAATTAAGTAAGTAAAATTAAGTAATTTATTTTCTATAAAAATGTTATGATTTACAAATTCTTCAATTTTACCATAATTCTTACTAATATAATATTATATTATCTGTGCTAATATTATAAATACCAAAGTCACTGTCTGTCTATAGCGCTTTCACGCCAAAACTACTAAATCGATTTAAATGAAATTTGGTACACAGATAAGTTAGATCTGAAAAGATTGTAAGGAAATTTCGTAATTATAAAAGCTAGAACAGCTTAGAAAATAAGTTTCAAGTTAGAAGCTTAAAGCTTATTTTTTAAGCTGTGGCAAATATGACATTCAAAGTTAGATAAAATTTTACCCTTAGGGGGTAAATTCCAGCATACGTGATGAAAGTTGGTATAGAAATTCGTCATATCTAAATACTAACTAATGCATGTTTATTTGTAAAATGATTAGCCTAAACAATTAAACATGCTATCCAATGTTCACTATTCTACGTGGACGTAGTCGCTGGCACAGCTAGTATTTCATAAACTTACAAGGTATGCGACACACTAGGGAGTCCCACTGGCCAGCTGAGACAAGAACGTGGGGACAATTCGTGACGGAACTTGTGGAAGGCCCCTTATGGTTTTTACGTGCAGGTACTTTTTCCATACTACCTATTAGAATATGTTTGTGAAGTCATTATCCTATTATTACTTGAAGACGTCTTCTATTACCACACAATTATCAACTGTCTGAAGATGTTTTGATATTACCATACTATTACCAACTATTAAAAATTGGTTTTAGATAGTTTGAGTGTATGATATAATTATTCTTCTTACAATTTAATGGCAACTAAATGTTTTTACCCCACAAAGTTGCGAAGTTTTGCTATTACCAACTATTAAAAATAGGATCTCGATACTTTGAATGTATGATATGATTATTCTTTTTTGGATTCAATGGCAACTAAATCATTTTATCCCAAAGAATAGCAACGTCTTTAGCGCATTCGATTTTTTAAGTATATTTTTGTATAGGATGATGGGCACAAAAGTTAGGAGAATATATGGGCCGTAGTCTGGGATGGTGCTCCGCAGTTGTAGTTTAAAAGTGACACCTACTTCACCAAGTTGTACCTTCAGCAACCCACCTGGGATCACAGTCTATTAAAGAATTTCCAAGTGGACGCATCACCAGTCCATCATCAGGTACTATTATTATAAAGAGAAAATATTTCTTTTCTACCAATATGAAAATTTTGTTACCCATTCCAAATTAATTCTTGAAGAAAAGAAGCATAATATAAATTGATAAAGCAATTCCCCTGGTGTTGCAGGTGCTCATAGGTATAATCATTTACCACCAGGTGAACCGCAAACTCATTTTTCCCTATGCTATTAAAAAATTCACTTAAGTGATATTTCTAATTAAAATAGACTGAATCCACTCGGGCTATAACTGGCCATCTATAAAAAAACTGATTGTTATAGGATATTGGCTGTAATGCTTACGTCATGCTACAACTAAAAAATAAACATAATCAAGCAAAAAAACTGGTTAATTGCTAACATATACCAAGAACTCGTCAGTGTTGATTCGCAGTGGAGTGCAAAAGGTCGACTCGACGGTCTTCGCTTATCATCACCTGTTTCATTAATTCCTAATACGTTAGACAGTGATGAATGTATATTAGTAAAATGTATAGACAATTTGTGTTATTGTTTTTAATTTGTTTTACTTGTGGCCAGTGTTATGAAGTACCGCCAGCGAAGTTGGAAGCGATTTGGCCGAAAGGATTAAGGGTTTCAGTGCCAGGTACATTATAGTTTTTCTTTAGAAAATATATTAATTGTATTATATACTGACCCGCAACTTTGTCCGCTTTTTTCTAAATATATATGGCACAAAGATAACAAACTGACAGTCATACACAATGTTCAATTTAATTAATATAGACCAATGAACTTATTGCTAGTAATATACCATATCAAGTTGATCTTCACACGGTTTCCCTTGGAAACCATTATGAGTAAGTCCGGGTGAATTTGTCACGATGGGCTAACTAACCTAAACACACTCACCTTATCATCTTCCACTGATGCACCGACAACGTAAACCGTTAGCGCAAGCGCGCTCATCATACCATTGTCATGACACAAAAAAAATGTATAGACTTAATAACAAAACAAAATATTATTCACGCAGGCATATGTTACAAATACATATGATAAGTCAAACGTACCGTCAGATCAGAAAGGATATTCGATCTATTAAGAACTTAGAAGAAATTCTGCTCATACCCTTTCTAACCCTCGAATAGTTTAACGTATTTATGAGTCTGTGACAACGTTGCTCCTAAATGAATGGACAAATTGTCATTTCTTAAAATTTGAAGCAATAATTATTAAATGAAAAATCTATAAATATTCTATAATTCTAATTCTATCTGAAAAATATAGTTATTTTTTTTTTTACTTTTATTAATATTTAATACGATTTCCTTACAAAGTTGTAATATTCCAACGTAATATCTAAACTAATTATTCAATGGTTATTACAGGGCTATCTACGGTCATTAGATAAGTGCTCATAGGTATTATTAATAGATCCCAATGACTATACGTGTATGTATGGCTGACTCAATATAAAAATATATAAACATGATCACACTAATCAATTTGGGATTAGAACTGCTCAAGTTCTAGATTTCTGACACACTTGAAAATCTACTGGTAGCTAAGTAGAGTCTAAGCAACTCACTTTATTAGAAATTTTGTAATAAATGTCATGTAAGTGTAATCTAGACGAAGTTGCGCGGGCCAGCTAGTCTATACATATAAATAAAATTGGAGCGTCTGTTTGTAATATTGAAATAACCGTTTTTTACTACATGCATATATATATGCATGAATATAAATACGGTACATACACCAAACTAACATTTTTTTACAATTTTTGGCTGTCTGTCTGTCTGTTTATTCCGGCTAATCTCTGATTTTGACAGGACTTTTATTAGCAGGTAGCTGATGTAAGAGTAACTTAGGCTACTTTATTTTATAAAAATAAAGATAAATTCCATGCGGATGAAGTCTCGGGTACAGCTAGTACATAAATAATAATACAAAGAGTATGTACATAATAATCATTTTCACAGAAAAAAGGAATTAAATAAAGAACTAAAAGAAACGGTAAAGCTATACAATTAGATCTTATTTTGATGACTCAACAAGTAATTGTGTTTTCCTTTTAAAACTTTAGTTCTCGGTACTGGGTACTTTATTTAATGAAACTTGTGTTTACATAACATTGTACAGTAATGGATCTATATTTATTTGCTATTACTCTTCGTCTATTGATTATTGACCATTCGTACACAAAAAAAACTCTATACCGTCACGTACTAATGATACTATACCTTCACACCCGTAATCTGTTGGAGCATAGCTTAAAAGATAACTTCAGCAACAAAATATATTTCAGCCATTCATTTTTTGCCTATATGTTATTCTGATGTACAGGCTATATTCATCAAAATCCGTTCAATATTTTTTGCGTGAAAGAGTAATAAAACATCCATCCCTACTCACATATTTCGCGTTTATAATAGTAATAAAATATGTATATATACTAGGACCTTGAATAAGTTCTCTCTGTTTTTTACAATCTAAAGACAATGCAATAAAATTTCTATCAAAACTACTTTATTTGTCACAAAATTAGACATTTCAGAACCAATAAAAAATTACTGTGCTTCCATTATATTTAACTACCATACATTAAAATTAAAGGTTAGATACAGTACTTTCTAGCAAAAGTGTTACCATTCAAAATTTTATACATAGAGTACCATCTGTGAAAAAAAAGCGAGAACTTATTCAAGGCACTAATATACTAGCCGAGCCGCGGAACGTCATCTGCATCTCATCCCACTTACTTGATATTTATCATTATATTTCGCCCAATTTACATAATATCCATTTAAATTATAACCTATATGTTATTCTAATGTATAAGCTATATTACTGTCAAGTTTCATCAAAATCTGTTCAGTACTTTTTCGTGAAAAAGCAACAGACATCCATCCATACTCACAAACTTTCGCATTTATAATATTAATAAGATATGCACTATACCATTAAGCCACGACGTTTTATAGAAATTTCTAACATAAATTTTACAATTTTGAAATTATACCTCAACAGATGATGGCTATTCTCTCTTCGCGTTTCACGGGAAGCTCAATGAGGAAATGGAAGGTCTGGAAGCAGGACACTGGTCCAGAGATATCACCAAAGCGAAGGGAGGCAGGTGGACTTTCAACGACAAGCAGGCCAGGCTGAAAATTGGAGACAAAATATACTTTTGGACTTATGTATTAAAGAATGGTCTAGGCTACAGGCAGGATAATGGGGAATGGACGGTAACAGGTATGAATACTTTATTTTTAAAACGAATACATACATATAATTTTTTTTCGAAAATTAATTATTAATTAAAAATGTCATCAGATTTTGATAGGCTTGTTGGTAGAAGAAGTATTCTTCTGTTCATAAATATAATGTCTATTTTAGATTGACTACAGTTTGTAATTAGTACTATGTTTATTTAGTAGCACATATTGCACTAATTATTTAATTGAAAGAGATCTTCTAGGAATAATCTCAATTTAGACAGTTCAAACATTTGTATTCATGAATAAGAATATTTATGTTGGTGTTTGTATTTTCTATGTATATTATGTAAACACATTGACACAAAAAAATATTTAATTAAAATATTTTTTTCTGTCAGTTGTCTAGTACTTACAACACAATCTCTGCTTAGCTTAAGACAAGATGGCGCTGTGTTAATTGTCCAAGGTTATTTATATATTTTTATAAATACAAAAAAATATTTCATTTCTTCTGGCAGTTATCTAGTACCTACAATCTTTGCTTAGCTTGTGACTAGATGGCGCTGTGTGAATTTTCTTGGATTATTATTATTACTATTATTCTATCTTCTAAAATAACTAAATATTGACATTTCCCTATTCACACTCATGACAATAGTTATTTTCCATTCCAGGATATGTTGACGACGCTGGAAATCCTTACGATTCCACATCTCCAATCGATAGTGAATCGCCGAGACCGCCAGTTCCAATAGCGCCAACTTCCGCAGTAGTCACCAATCCTCCAATTTCTCAAAGCACCGATTATCCGTGTGAAATATCCGTATCCATGGTATCCGTGCCCGGATTTGTATGCAAAGGGCAGCTTCTGTTTGAGGATAACTTCAACAAGGCCATCGATAAAGGCAACATTTGGACGACAGAGTACATGTTTCCAAGTGAACCGGTGAGCCGAATTAGAAATTTGTTCTGTAGTCTCACTAATATATACCTTTTTTTTTAAAGGACGAATAGGAAATTATCCATCACTTGCGCTAAAGGTATACGCTGGCGGGGCACTGGAGGGTAATAGGATGAGCATGAGCATAGCATGAGGTCAAGTCAGTTAGCCCATCGTGGTAAATTCACCAGGAATTTAACATGATGGTTTCCAGGAGAAACCGCGTGGAGGTCAACCTGACCTGGTCCATTGCTAACAATGTGTTTAATAATACATATTCCTAACAATCCCCTTGCTAAATAATATAATTTCTGGATCGACAGATCGATTTTGAAGCCCGTTTATCGAGTAAGGTAATATGTGTATAACATCACGATCACGACACTATCACCAATAGAATCATGTCTGTGATATATTTTATTAATTTCTATATATGTTAGTCCTTAATGTATATATGATATGATATGGCAATACTGCTATATTATATTAAATTGTTTGAAGTAAATAAAATATAATAATAATAATGTCTCAGGACAATTGACACAGCGCCATCTAGTTCCAAGCTAAGCAGAGCTTGTGTTATGGGTACTAGACAACTGATATAAATACATGGATACATTTTTTTTTTGTAAATAAATACATATTATACATAGAAAACACCCAGACCGATACAAACAATCATACTCATGAATACAAATGTTTGCACCGTGCGAGGAATCGAACCCACGACCATCGGATAGTAAAGCGGTGTGCTAAACCACTAGACCACCGAGGCTGTCGCTACATGTATATACAACGAAACAAACAAACTCTTCATCTTCATATATTGGTATTGATTAACGATATATAACACTAAACTCAGGAAAAGCTTTGTAATGTAAATCTTCCTAATATTTATTTACAGGACTATCCATTCAATGTGTATTTGAATGATAACGTACATGTAAGAGACGGCAAATTGATAATAAAACCAAGTACACTCGAGTCTAAATACGGGGAAGATTATGTGAGACAACAACTGGATTTAACACAGAGGTACGTTTAGTCGGTTTAGTTAATGGTTAACTAAATAAGTAGTCCTCAATAATCCTAATGACATAATCGTTGTGACTAATTTATTATGTTATCTATCTACTTGTATAAATCCGAGGTTCTGGAGATCAGGGGCCGTATTATGAACTCTTATTCCCATTCAGTTTACGGCTTAAACTGAACTGCCTGGCGATTTCGTATTACGAACGCTATTAGCCAGCCAGTCAGCGGTCACGTGACAGCTGAACGTCTTCTGCCCGAAAACTGACCGGCTATTTCGTATTATGAGCGTTTCATTTGACAGATCTAAGCGGACGCAACTGTCAAAAAGACCGTTTAAAGACAATTCAGTTTACGGTGGCTTCATATTAGCTTTTATAGAATTGTTTTCTAATTTATAGCTTCATTATTGTAATTTGGTTATTATTTCTATTCCTATGTCAGTTTTTATTATGTTTAAAACATGTTTGTGCAGTTATTTCGATTGTTTTTGTTTCGTTTTAATTTTAATTATGTGTGATAAACTCGAAGTATTGGAGTTTTTGGAAATGTGTGCACCCTACGAAAAAGAAGTAAGGAAAGTGAAAAGACGGCGATTACGCGACCAATCCAATCAAAATGAACAATTTAGAAAACGTTATGATCTAAATAAAGATTTGGTGCGTAATATGCGTGCGAACTCATATGCCGGTATCATCGAAATTTACAGACCTACCAGTGGAAACTAAGGTATAATGTATTGTAATTATTTCACTAAATCACTAGCTGACTATGTCAGGTTTTAGTAGGATTATTATTTATGCTACAGGCATATTTATCAACGGCCTATTAGTGATATTGCTGTTCATTCTTTAGCACAGCCAACAAATAACCGATTTATTGCATTTACCCAACTTCCAAAAGTAAATACATATATAAAATTCCAAGGACATCTGAGTAAAGGATAGATAATAAATATTCAAAGGTATCTATTTCTATATAATTACAAGTAATTTTATACAATTAGCAACTGTTATTGTTGCAAATACATCTATGAGTACCATGTACCATACCATATGATATAGTGATAATATATATGGTAAAATGTATGCATACAAGTAAAGCCAACAGTCTGATGATGTGCAGTCTCTCCGGCACTTTCCTCCGAGGACAATTAATTAAATTAAATTAATTATATTTTAGGTTTTATAATTGGAATTTGGAATGCTGGGTGTATTGGGCTGTATTTGACTGTACACATGCCACCCCATTGTAAATTAAGAAGAGATATTACTGTAGAAAACAATACCATTCATTAAATATATAATTGGTAAGTGAAATATAAATTAAAAGACATGTTTAATAATATAAGCACTTTTAATATCTTTTTTTAATATAATTATATAAATTAACAATAAACAAGATTTTAGACATACAAAATATGTTAATGATTATACATCTCTAAAGCTACTTATATATCTACTAACAATAAATTGTTTACTTAAATATAAAATGACCATAACACTTAGACATATGTTTCAAATAATCTGTATCCATGTAATTAATGTCATATGTTTCAAATAATATTTATCCATGAATTATTCTCTTATGTTTCGAAATAATCTTCATCTATGTAATTAATCTGGAAAAAAAATTTAGGTTAGTAATGCTGACATGGACATTATGAGTGTGGATGCCAACTAGAACTAGAGCTACTCATGACATTTGGGCAAACCAGAGGCATTAAGCAACATCTAGAGGACTTAAGCTGGAATAAATCCTTATGATTACTTGGTAAGCACAAAATTTTATTATGAAACTACAAACATCATTACATCTAAGCTCTAAACTTCAGTAATTTAGAAACATAGTTATTTATCAACACCAACAATTATTGTGCTGTGTTTTTAATGAAATAATACTTTTTGTAAATAAATATTAATATTATAGTATATAATATGTTGTTTTTTTTTAGGAGATCCAGGATATGCTTTTGAGAAGTATACTCCCATCTCAAATGTTATATCAGGACCACAAGAAGCATATTACACTGTAAGAACATGGAATATCATTGAGAGCACAATTGGGCTTCTAGATTTATTTATTTTTTGATTTTGAGCTCTTATAGAGAACTAAATGAAGGTCTAGCTGCTAGACAAACCCATGTTGTTTAGTTGTGGAACTAAGAAATTGAAACATTTATAAATAATAATATTGTTAATAGGTCAATGTTTTAATTATTTGTTTTTATAATAAATGATATAGGTACATTATTTATGTCTTTTATTGGTAGTTATAATTAAAGGGATATGATAATTGTATTATATACTAGTTATTACCTATGACTTTGTCAATATGGCATACCTAATTTTTGTTAAAATAAATAAAATATCTCAAATAAAAGCAACTTAAGTTACTCCTTTACACAACTCATTACATATGACAGTGAAAGTATCCCTCAAATTTGGTCCAGCTGTTTCAAAGATTAGCAAGAACAAACAAACAGACAGACAACTATATTTTTTTAATGTCATTTATCTTACCTTTTATATGTATGCATTTACTGAAAAGCTGTTGTATGGTGAACTTCAAAATTACAAACAGATACTTCAATTTATTTGCATAGATACATGTATTTCAGATTTTACTGAGATTCCTATTAAATGAAATAAATTAAAATTCAGATGGTTACCTTATAACACTTAAACTTGACAATCCTTTCCAGTCTTTAAAATCCCCTTTTCCTAAGGAGTTTAATTGTTGAGCGACGTCCTCACACAAGCGATTGGTATGGTATTCTTGGGCGGACTTATTAAAGCCATTTGCCATTTCCCTACGGGATTTTAAAAATCCCATATAATTTTAAATTACCGGTACGATACACGACGTTGGCGAGGGGTTTCAGTCCGTGATCTACAATTTAGTTAGATAAATATACAAATATAAACAGTTAAATATTTGCATCATTTTAAAAAAACATTACTAAGAAAATGTTAGGAATACTTACGTTACATTAGGTATATTTTTCACAATAATTGAATTATTAAATTTAACTTGCGTATAAAGTCATGGAAAGGCTAAGTTTCAAATTGTACATTACTTTGCGCGGAATTTTAAGTAGATGCACAAAGTTCGTTTGGATATTACAATGAAAATATTTTTTACAAATAAATCGGAATTATTAAAAAAGACAATAAAACTGTCTGGAATATTTTTGTATATTACACAAATTCTACCATTGTATCTTAATTACTGTTTTCTATATTTAATTTACATTTATTTAATTAATTTTTTGTCCAAAAAGTGACACACAAAAACTCAACTTAACGTTGCAACGAATGTATGCGTATCCGAACGCAGCGCGAGAAAATCCACTAACCAGCCAGAGACAAACTATCCAGGCAGAATACGGTTTGAATTTGGACCCTCATAATACGAAAAAGAACAATTCAGTTTAAGGCCGTAAACTGAACTGCCTGGAAACTGACTGGATTTTAAAGAGTTCATAATACGCCCCCAGGAGCCTTTTTGTACTTATTGAATGAAGTACAGTTACGGGGTTACAACTGTATATTGATTTAAGCGGATAAATTAAAAAAAATCATATTGCTATAAGGTATAACAAAAAGATGTTATAGCGCGTTTTAGAAATTTGTATAAAAAAATACAGCGCCATCTAGTTGTAATAGTATAAAACAATATTAACTCGAACACTACTAAACTATTTTTTTTAACCCTGAACTGTTAATACAGCGCCATCTAGTCACACGCAGAGCTTGCGTTATCGGTCCTAAACTAGATAGATAAGATAAATAATTTATTATTATACAGATGTACAGGTACAGTCGGTACGTCAGACTGTTCGCGTATAGCATCTGGCCCTATAATATTGCCGCCCATCATCACTTCCAAGATCAACACCAAAAATAGGTTCAGCTTCAAATATGGCAGGGTCGAGGTCAGCGCCAGAATGCCCATTGGAGATTGGATCATACCAGGTAACATTGTTATATAGTATATTACGTAGCACATTTTAAAGTCTGTTTATTATAGATGTTCGTATTCTTATGTTTTAAAATATGTGTACACGTTTCTGTGTGTGCATGTGTGTGTGTGTGGGTGTGTGTGTATAAATTGAAAAATAAATATATCACAGATAATATTTCATTATATATGTATAACGTACATATAGCTGATACAACCACGCGATATTCTGGCTGAGTAGGTATGTTGACTTGACTTTGAAGAAGAATTACTTGAGTGAAATTAGTAGACGTAGAGCATCAAAACAAGCTATGAAGTTTAGTTTCTAGAATTTTCTGTAAATTTATTACATATTGTTCTAGAAATCTTGTTGGAGCCCCGTGACCGAGTCTACGGTATACATAGCTACGCATCTGGGCTGATGCGCATTGCATGCGTCAAGGGAAATGTAGAGTACTCCAAAATATTATACGGCGGTGCTATACTGTGCGACTCTGAACCATACAGGTATTAACATTAGGTTTATTTTTTGTTATACACTTGCTGAGCCAAGCCTATTAGTTACGAAACAATTAACTCAATATGGCATTGGTAGTTTATGTACGAAATTTTTAATATACTTATGTGAGAATGAATGAAACGATAAATAAATGTATGTAACAGAACGGCGATTAAAGGAGAGAAATGTGTGTAAGAGAGAGAAGATATAGGAAAACAAAAGGAAGAGATTAATGAATAGATATATTTAATAGTTATTAAAATACTAACTAACATACCTACGTAGTAGTAATTGAGTTTTCATTTTTTTTATTATCTGATATTTCTTTAATGTAGACTTGCTACAAAGTAAATGTAAGGATATATCTGTCCTATATCAGCCACCAAGTATTTTCTATCTGTACTAGCTATTCGCCCCGGCTTCGCCTGGGTGTACTGAATTATAATATTACCAGAATCACTCTATCTATTTAAAAAAAAATCGCTTCAAAATCCGTCGAGTAGTTTTAAAGATCTAAGCATACATAGGAACGGACAGACAGTAACCACGACTTTGTTTTATACTATGGAATGAAACTCAGTTGAAGAGAAGAATTTCTGGGTACAGAAACATGACATCTTAGTTCTCCAAAATGGCAATATATGAAGGATATGCTGATGATAACATATGTTGACATAATATCAGTGGTGCTATTCATATGTATAGGCAACAGATGTCACTTATCAAGTGAGCCGTAAACTTATAGGCCAATTCAAAATTCAACCTAGATTCGAACCCACAACCATGAAGGTGTAAGTTGGTAGTAGCATACCCGTTATTATTGCCTCCACATGAACCGCTTAAAAGTAAGAAATTTAACGATATACTGTATTAAATTTGTTATGAAAACATAACAAATGTAACACAATAGGTATGTCATCATACCTCATTTACATACATCATTATCAAGAAATAACGCATAGAAATAAATATCTTATTTTTAAAGTGTTATTTCTTATTTTCAATAATTGCATACCCCTTCAGAATGCTGCATGTCATGTACTATTATTATTTAGTAAGATCTAAAACTGCTACATAGTGTAGTAAGCAAATAATTAAACTAATGAATACATTAGAGGAAGTATGAAAGTGTCGCCGGTGTCAGAGAGGATGAAGAGTAATCGTCTATCATGATATGGACATGTAATGCGTAGCAATGAGGATAATATTTTAAGGAAGGTGTTACATATGAATGTGGATGGTTATAAGAGCAGAGGAAGGCCGCAAAAGAGATAGATGAACTGTGTGAAAGATGATATGGTAAGAAAGGAAGTAAATAACGCGATGACTGCGAACAGGGATGAATGGAAGAGAAAAACATATTACGCCGACCCCAAGTAAATGGGATAAGGAAGAAGCAGATGAAGAGTGTAGTAAGCAAATAAATAAATTGTTATTATTATTGCGATGAATATAATATGGCCATTCTATTTTCAGGAACGCAAACTTGAGACAAAAAATTGGATTTGACCATTGGAACAAAGATTTTCACAATTACACATTAGAATGGAGACCTGGCAAGTAATTATTTATTTATTAACCGTGGCTTTACCTGGGTGAATCATATACAATAATTAGGGACAAAGATCCATCTGTATAGATGCGAAATTGAATTCTATGCTTCGCCATATTCGGTTTTATTTTGCTTAAGTGCGACAATCAGCTTCGTGTAGAGTCCATAGGAAATTAATGGACCGCACAAACGTTGTATTACGGCAAACTGATGACTGATGCATGTATATTCTCGCCCTAAATCTGGGCTCACATTATCAGGTTTAACCCGTCCGGGCTTGTGCTGACGAACCGTTCGATTAGCAAGCATATTTCCAAATAGGATGAAGCGTAGTAACTAATGTGCCAATAGAACAGAGTCGACAGCACGTGCCATCCTATTCTTATTGTAAATGTATAGGACATACTATTATATATTATACTATAAAGCTATTAAAATGAACTTTATATAAAACATTGCTGTCATATCATTATTATTATCGATTCCTTCGATTTCTCGCACGGTACAAACATTATTATTTATGAGTATGATAGTTTATTTAGGTCTGGATATTTTCTATGTAAAGTCACTCAGAGGGCAATGGCTCGGTGTTTCGCTGCGTAATCGAATCAGAAATGAGGAGATCCGCAGAAGAACCAGAGTGACAGCGACATCGCCCAAAGAATTGCAAAACTGAAGTGGCAATGAGCACATATCTCGTAGGACAGATAGCCGTTGGGGCAGTAAAGTCCTTGAGTGACACCGAGGACCGGAAGACGCAGCGTGGAAAGGCCTCCAGCAATCTGGTCAAGATCGCTGGAAAGCATTGTATACGAGCAGCGCAGGACCGATCGTCATGACGATCTTTGGGAGTTCAGCAGTGAACATCCAGGCTGAGATGATAATGATTATGATTTCTATGTATATTATGTATGTATTTATAAATATACATATATAAGTATTTATATCAGTTCAATTAGTACCCATAACACATGCTCTGCTTACCTTGGGACTAGATGACGCTGTGTGAATTGTTCAAGTATATTATTGTTATTATTTAGGATTTAAAAGCAAATAATGTGTATTTATTTTCAGATGGCATATCTCTTTTTGTTGATGGAGAAAAGTACGGAGAAGTGACACCCTCAGCGGATGGTTTTTACGATGAAGCGAAGAATAATAACGTCCAAGCTGCATCACAATGGCTGAAGGGAACCTCCATGGCTCCCCTCGATGATTATGTAAGATTTTTTTTATTGCTGGACCCGCTTGATCTAAAAATTTGTGCTGGCAGGGCACCGATGGAATGTGATAGGATGAGCATGAGGTACGATCAGTTGATCCATCGTAATAGGGGATTGTTAGTAATGTGGACTGATGACCCCATTGCTAGCAATGTACTATGTCAGGTTGACCTCCACGTGGTTTCCCCTGGAAAGCATCGTGATAAATTCCTGGTGAATTTGTTACGATGGGCTAACTAACCTGACCTCATGTTCATCTTATCATCCCCCACTGGTGCCCCGCCAGCGAAATTCGCCATTCCATTATCATCCATAAAAAAAACCCATCGTGATAAATTCACCAGGAATTAATCTTTATAATTTCCAGGGGGAAGCACGTTGTGGCGATAACTTGGTAAATTGTTAGCGATGGAGTTAATTCATATTATTAACAATCCATGTAAGAATAATGTTTTTTGCTAATAGTTTGTCCAAAGTCTGGGAATTCTGTCGTAATTTATGAATGACCCCTAATTGTATTTTCTTTTCTCCATACAGTTCTACATCTCTATTGGACTGGACATAGGTGGCGTCCACGAGTTCGCAGACGGTCCAACAAAACCCTGGCAGAATGGAGCCACGAAAGCCATGCTAAACTTTTGGAACAACCGCGACCAGTGGTTCCCAACCTGGTATAAGGATACCAGCTCTTTACAAGTTGATTATATCAGAGTCTACGCTTTATAGTAGGTATGTAATTTGAAAAAAAATTAACATTCACCAAGAGGAAAGGCTACTAAACATCCTATATAATTGGAGCCCACTCATGCAGAAACGTAATATCTCCTTTGGAAAGTCTACACTCTATACTGAGGTGATAAAAACGATCGCTCCTAAGAATATCCTTCAATTCTTGTCCCTGACGGATCTAGGTAGCAAACTCTGAAAAAGGGCGTGCACAATAAATCTATGTAGGTCGCAGTGCTATAGATCTAAGCGCATGATAAATGAGTTGACTCTAAAAATTAACCTGCACATTATTTTTTTATTGGAGGTTTGGGCTAAAACCTCCAATAAAAAAAATAATGTGCAGGTTAATTTTTAGAGTCAACTCATTTTTAGGATTCAGAGAAAAGGTGTTATTGAATACTTTTAATCCTGCCATTATAAAGCTAAATACTCTGGAATGTAGTTACATTATTGATTGCAATTCGAAATCATCTAAAGCTCAACTGCAGTCAATAAGTTCAGATTTATTATAATAAATATTATTATTTTTATTTTAATATTTTCCTTTCTTTGTTTCAGATATGAGTTGATATGAATTTGCGCTTCTGTGACATTAAATAATAATACAATAGAAATATATTTTTACTTTTTACAATGAGATCGTTTTTTATTTTTTATTCATTAGATTTATTGTGTTTTATTGTTCCCCGATCTTGCAATGGTTCTTCCACATTGTGAATGGATACGTAATCATAATGAACAAATATGATTTATGTTACAAAGAAATGATGGACTATAGTAGTACTATACAATATTATATATATTATAGTAGCACTGTATATATTTTTTTTTTATAACACAGGGGACAAACGAGCATGCGGCTCACCTGATGGTAAGTGATTACCGCCGCCCATGAGCACCCGCAACACCAGGAGAATTGCAAGTACGTTGTCGGCCTTTTAAAAAGGAATAAGCTCTTTTCTTGAAGGTTTCAATATCGTTAACGGTTCGGAAATACCATTGCTGGAAGGTGATTCCACAATGTGGTTGTGCGAGGCAAACAGTTTCTAGAAAACCGTACTGTGGAAGACCGCCATTCATCCAGATGATCAGGATGGCATTTCAGAAATTATGCATACATATTAGAGTTTTTTTAAGGATGATAATGGAATGGTGGATCCGCATGCGTTAACAGTTTACACTGGCGGGGCACCAGTGGAGGATGATAAGATGAGCATGAGGTCAGGTCAGTTGTCAGTTATCGTAACAAATTCACCAAGAATTTAAAACGATGGTTTCCAGGGGAAACCGTAGTATTAAAAAAAGCAATGTTGGCGGTTGGAATAGAGGAAACTGAGGGGAAAGGGATTATCAGTAATGTGAACTTATTACTCTATCGCTAGCAATATTCCAAGCCAGGTTAACCTCCAGGCAGTTCTACTGGAAACCATCGTAATGAATTCACTAGGAATTAATGACGATTGTGTCCAGGTCAGTTTGGCCATCGTGATGAATTTCCTAGTGAATTCACTATGATGGACCAACTGATTGATCTCATGCTCATCCTATCATCCTTCACTGGCGCCCTGCCAGCGTAAACCGTTATATAATCAACTTTATACTAAGTCTACCCTGGAACAAAGTGTGCTGTAATACTACAGTGGTGACGACCTCGGTGGTCTAGCGGTCTAGCATACCGCTTTACGACCGATGGTCGCGGGTTCGATTCCTCGCACGGCACAAACATTTGTATTCATGAGTATGATTGTTTGTATCGGTCTGGGTGTTTTCTATGTATAATATGTGTGTATTTACAAAAAAAAAATATCTATGTATATGTATCAGTTATCTAGTACCCATAACACAAGCTTTAGCTATCTTAACTTGGGTCTAGATGGCGCTGTGTGAATTGTCCTGATATTATTATTATTATTATTATTATTACAGTCCTTTTGGTATATTTACTTTACTCTTTGCACTGTGATACCAGACTGTGATACCCACGCAAACGACTTCATACAAAGTCTCGGAACAAACTAAGCTGTAACACTACTGTCCTAAATAACCAGTATGATTATATACACTTCGTACAGTGACAAAATGGCGCGCATTGTGGCCGGTTGTGTCTCGAATTTAATCATATTAATCGTACTACGAGTCGATCACACATTTACATTAGAGCAAAGGGCACCAGATATAGACGTGAACTTCGAACTAATAAACCCTAAAGGAATACGAATATGGATTCCAGGTAACATCAAAAAGGTTTTTTAATAAAAAGAATTTGTTATAAACTTCGAACAAGAGTTAAACTAAGTTTCTATAAGGATAATCTTCAACATAACCAACCGGTTTTGATGCTTCTTAAGACGTATATGGAGATAAGTACGCGTGTAAAATCGTTGAACTTTATTGGTTTTGTTAAAATTCAATCCATTTACAATATAAATGTTAAATAACAATTAAAAAACTAAAACTCAAATATTTCTAAATGGATACTGAAAAAATTAATTTTGGCGCGCACTAGCCAATTCAAAATAGAAATAATCTTTATTGAAATAAACTCAATACAAGCACTTTTCAATAGTCATATATTTTACTCTACCATTAATTCAGAATAGATTCATCACAAGAAGAATGAGTAAAATACTTGTGTGTTGTTTTTTTAATGTAAGTATGTATATTCTTTAATATTTGCGTATTGCTACGATGTACTACATTTAACGTACCTTTAATTAACAATTGCTTTACCATGTGGTAAGCATTTAAATATATATATTTATCTAATATTAATTAAAGAAGTAATTATAGAGAATTATTTGAATATAATTGTCACTAATATTAACAGCACTGTGATGTAAAAACAACTAAATAGCTATAAAAAAAGAATCTTAATGATAGTACAATATTATAAAGTGATTATATTTAAAACGTGACAGCCTTGGTGATCCAGCGGTTTAATACACTGCTTTACTTCCGATGGCCGCGGGTTCGATTACTCGCACGGCAAAAACATTTGTATTCATGTGATTATTTGTATCGGTCAGTTTTCTATGTCTATTATGTATGTACAATAAAAATGTATTTATATTTATACCAATGTTCTAGTACTCATAACACGCTCTGCTTAGCTAGAGACTAGATGGCGCTTTGTGAATTGTCCTGAAATATTATATTTCAGATATGGGCACTTCAGAAATAACTCAATTCAAATTTAACGGCAATATTAATAGAACCATAAGCATTGTTAGCATTGGCAAAATTAGGGCTGATGTTACGAAACCAACAGATGGACGATGGATATTTGAGGACAATGATGTTGAGGTGAAGGCAGGTGATGTCATATTTTATAACTTCGTGGCAGCAGTGGATGGCATTGAATATGTATATGACGACTTGAACAAGACTTTGAATGGTAAGCTACTACCACAGATAACATAATATTACATACTACATACTACTATGTAATATTATGTTATCTGTGCTACTACTATTCAGCGAATTTTGTACTTTTAAATGTACTAGTCTCCCAATGGTTGAATTTCGTTTTAATTTTTTTTTCATGGATCATAATTCACCCCCCTTCGCTAACTGTTTACGCTGGCGAGGCACCAGTGGAGGATGATAAGATGAGCATGAGATCAGGTCAAATTGCCAATCGTGATTAAATAACCAGGAATTGACCACGATGGTTTTCAGGGGAACCGCGTGGAGGTCGACCTAACATGGTACATTGCTAGCAATGGTGACACTAGACCTCATTACTAACAATCCTCTTCTCAAAATCCTTCATTCAGATTTAATAACGACGACGATTGTTAGTTATAATTTAAACATCTCTTGATGGCCTCGCTGGACTAGCGGTTTAGGACATCTTACTCCCGATGATAGCAGGTTCGATCCCTTGCACAATGAAAACAATTATTTTCATGAGTATCATTGTTTGTATTAGTCTGGATATATTCTATGTACATATTTTTTGTTCATTTCCGGCTACTAATGACTTTATATACATACCTTATATACGAACATATGAAATAATAATATAAATAAAACATTGTATCTATGTACCTACTTCTGACTTCTTTAGTTATGTACCTACTTATACAAAAAATGTGTTTAAGTATTTCTATAACTTGTCTAACTGTTAGACAATTTATAGAAATACTTATAATGTTTAATGCTAAACTCTAACACAAGCTCTAATCAGCGGAGACTAGATGACGCAGTGTACATTTCCTGGGTTATCTTTCTGATTAGTCCAGGTTCGAATTTCGATCCCAGTTGTTCGCAATCAGCGACGGTGATCCGCGGCAGTACCGCTACAATTTGCTCAGGAGAGACAATTTTCGAGGAAAACTTTGACATTTTAAACCAAAGTGTGTGGCAGATTGAACAGTATATACCAGTTGATGATCCTGTTAGTGGTAATTATTATAAGATGACATAATTAGATAGTTAGACGAGGAAGATCTCTACTGACTTGGCAATCCGTCATCAATAATGACCTAAAGAACCCAAATTAATGATTTACAACCCAGGACAGGTATGCCTGAAGAAGAAGGACTAGGAGAGCCGACTCCAAATTAAATGGGAAAAGGCTAGGCAGATAGAGAGATACATAATTAGATAGGTAGACTGTAAAAAGTGACTAGCGACTATAACTAGTCGTTTATATGGGTGTCCTATTTGGACATCATCGTCAGCCCACTGCTAGACATGCCTCTCCCAAGGCACGCCACTGGGCACAATCTTCAGCCCTTCTCTTCCAGTTTTTACCCGCAAGTAAAAAGAAGGGCTGAAGATCGTGAGAACCCTACGTATGTCGTCGCTAAGTATGTTCCTCCCTATTTGGACACTGATGGATTTTCCATAGTAAATTTTACCGCTTACGAATACGATGATGTTGAAATGCTAGAAAACATATGTTACAGAAGGTTATGTATGTTTGTTATGTTTTATTATATATATTTATTGTGTTTTATATTTTGACGTTACGCTCCTATTCTTTATAGCGATTGTTTTTGTAATGCGATATTCATTGTACTATGTTTATTTTATTTTGAAGCTTATCCGAATATATACATTTACCTGAGGGAACGTGTCTCACTATAAACCAGCTAAATACAATCCTCTTTTGTGTGGGTACCTAAGAGTCATCTATTTCAGTTGCCAAGCAGCTTGCTTTGTAAGCTATTGCATCTATATTCATATCGGTCTAAATGTTTCGCTTGTAGTTAAACCTGTACCATGTAATGAACCTGTACTAATAACCAAATAAGGTTCTTATACATGTACTTATCTAGTTATTTTCACATATACTAGCTGTGCCTATGCTTTCATCCGCATGAAATTTATAACCTATGTATTATTAGTAAATAAACTGGCTTAAAAAAAGTAATTAAATTGAGTTTCTTTCCAGTTCTTCTAAATTGGATCTATATACCGAACTGGACGATAGGGAAAAAATTAAAATAATAATGTAAGAACTTGACGTTCATAAGCGGCTAAAATGTCCTACATTAATAAATGATTTTGAATTTATTATGATGTAGGTATAAGTTATATTATTGTAAAGTTTCGTCAAAATCCGTTCAATAGTTTTTGCGTGATAGATTAACAAAAATTCATCCATAATTCCTTCATACTCACAAAATTTCGCGTTTATAAAATTAGTAAGATAAGATGAAGATTATATATATGACTTTCAGGAATACCCCTTCGTGTCGTACCAGCGGTTCCCATCAAAACGGACGGTAACATTAATAAATGGCAACCTCCGAATTGCACCGAACCTGCAACAACATCAAGACGGTTTTACCAACAAGTCTCTTTTTACAACCAACTTGAATTTGATAGATCGGTAAGTTGTACATCCTTATTTTGGACTGCGTGTAAAATCATATAGTACGGTTCGTAACCGTAACTTAATTATGTTATATATTATTATACTTATTTACTTTTAATAAGTAAATATACATACTAACATAGTCCGTAGACTATGTTAGTACGGTACATACATACATATAGTAGTACATACTAGATACGGTTAATATATTTTAGAAAAATAATTGGTATTTAGTAACCCTGAACAATCCACAAAACGCCATCTAGTCCCACGGTAAGCAACACATGTGTTATGGGAACTAGAGAATTGATATACATACCTAGATTTTTGTTTTTTAAATAGTTACATAATATACATAGAACACCCTGACCGATACAAACATCATGCGAGGAATCGATACCGCGACTATCGGATGTAAAAAAATGTGGCATTAAAAAATATATCCACTCCTAAATTTTCACCCTTCTACCATCAACCCCTATTTTTATAGGCATATTAGTACTTCAATTTGTATGCTAAGATTTTTGCTAGGTATATATTAGATGTTTATTTTGATAATAAAATAATTGGATTATACATCATCAGGTGTACAGCACCAGTGTGCTCGAAAGAACCTTCTGGAGCTGACATCCTACCGCCGGTAGTGTCCGGTCGTATAACCAGCAAAGGTTTCGTGTTCAAGTACGGGACTGTTCATGTTAGGGCTAAACTACCACAAGGGGACTGGCTCTATCCAGGTACACGGCATATTTATAAATATTTTATACACCTGATGATGCCTCGTTCAGAGGCGAAACACGTGTTGCAATATGGGTGTAAATTCAATAATTACCCTTAAATAGATTCAAAACATCTGTTAAATCATACTTGAATGACTAGCGTGCATGGCTGGCTTCCGCACTGAATATTTGCAGGCACACGCATACTAATGATAGCAGAATTAAACAAAAGTAATATAAACCCATTAATTAAAGTAATAATTTTGTTGCATTGTACGTATAGTAAACTCGTAAATGAGTCGTATCTCGTATTAAACAAGAAGTTAAATATATATATAAGCTTTTATTTTCAATAAATGTATAGATGAAGGTAAATTTCCTAACATAATGAAAATTAGTAAAATCATACCGCTTTTTAAATCTGGAGATAGGAGTGACCCAATAAATTATAGACCTATATCTATACTCCCAGCACTCAGTAAAATTTTTGAAAAAATAATCCTTATGCAGCTTGTCAGTTATTTCAATTTAAATAATTTAATCCACAATAGTCAATTCGGTTTTTCCAAAGGTCGTTCAACTACAGACGCAGGTGCAGAGTTGCTTAGACACGTATTTGCTGCATGGGAAACTAAAATGGATGCGATAGGTGTTTTTTGTGACCTTTCTAAGGCTTTTGATGGCTAAAATGTCCTACATGAATAAATGATTTTTGAATTTGAATTTGAATTTGAATACAGCACAGCTACGAACTAATTTAATGGCGCCAAAAAAACATTACAGCATGTTAATCTTACAAAGGATCATTAAAGGATTTATATACAGTTTTCTCTGATATATTATGTCTGTACGTATGTAGTAAGTTTGCATTAATTAATATTTAGTGTTTATTTTATTCCAATTGTGCATTAAGTATCTGTTTAAGATCGAATAAAGAGACTTTAGCAAATGTTTTGTTTAAGGATAAAATTGTGACTACAATTTCAGTTTTATTCCTTTTCTATACATGGTTAGTAGTAACATTAAATTTATTTTCAGAAATCTTGCTAGAACCAGTTCTGAAGAAATACGGTAATTCAAACTTCGCGTCTGGTGTTCTAAAGATTGCTACCGCTCGTGGAAATAAAGAGCTTAATTCTGGACTTCTTGACTACGGAAATAAGGTTTTTTTTTATATAATACAGGGGACAAACGAGCATGCAGGTCACCTGGTGGTAAGCGTTTACCGCCGCCCATGAGCAAACGCAACACCAGGGGAATTGCAAGTACGTTGTCGGCCTTTTAAAAAGGAATAAGTTCTTACTTGAAGGTTTCAATGTCGTATCGGTTCGGATACACCATGACTGGAAGGTGATTCCACAATGTGGTTGTGCGTGGCAAAAAGTTTCTAGAAAACCGCAATTTGGAGGGACCGTCATTCATCCAGATGATCAGGATGATATTTTAGGTACTTGTATTTTAAAATAATTTGCACTAATTCCATATATTTGGAGTTGGCTTAAGATATTTTATACATATATTAAAATTTTACGGCCGGCCAACAGCCTAAGGTTATTCCTCAATCAATGAATGGATAAACATTGAGGCTAACAACAAATATCCGTTAAGATCGGACGAATCATGATGACAATGACTAATAGGATAGCCTATTATACACTTACTTTTTTTAACAGGTGCTATATGGAGGCCCTATAATGGACTTCGATTGCCGAAAGGAGCTGTTGAAGACGCATCAATTAAAAAACAGCCGGCAGTGGGGAGATGATTTTCACGAATATAGCCTTCGCTGGTCTCCAGGTATTTTAGATCATCGAATATTCTAGAATTTGCATTCACTATTTTTTTTAATAACAGAAGTACAAAAGTGTTACACTTCTCTAATATTCATACGCTTCTTACAGCACTATTCTATTCTCTAGAATTATAATTTATTTATTATTGATATGTTTTTGTAATTAAGGATTTCTAATTCCTGCGACACAAGCACCTTGAGCTTAGTGCAGGGATTGCTGTTAATTGTCTTGTCTACAACCATTGATGTAATGTGTACAAATAAATAAATAAATTAATTAATTAATTAATTGCACTAATTTTAGGAATGTGAGACTATGTCTGTCTGTCTGTTATCTTGTCATGTCTAAATGATTCCATGGATCTTAGGGAAATTTGACGAGAATATAGATTGTATCAAGAATACAAACATAGATTTGTCTGGGTTATAACTCAGACAAAGCCGTTGGTAAAAATTCTTAAAGTCTTGCCCATTTATCGAGAAAGACTGTAGGGTATATAACATTATTCTACGATCAATAGAAGTAGAGCTGCATTGAAAATGTGCAGAAAAGAGTCAGCTAGTTTATTAAATTTTTATTTGACTTCGTAGATGGTATAGTTTGGTCAGTGGATGGAGTAGAATGGGCGAGAATAGAACCAGGAACAAGAGGTCTAGTTAACAGTTTGCCGCGGTCATGCCAACACTTGCAGCGGTCGCAGTTGGAAGCAGGAACACTTATGGCTCCGTTTGATGATCTGGTAAGCAAAGAGTACAGTTATACTAATATAAGTTTCTTTTTAATAATAGACCCTGGAGATTTCACACAACACCTTTTAGTTTTTATACAGTAAAAGAATTTTTAAATTTTATGGTAAAATGAGTTAAGAATTGGATAATATTAATATAATAGTAATGACATAACAGTAATAATATTGACATATAATGACTAAATAATAATATAGATATAATAATTTCTTAAAATTGTATAATATAATAATGTAATATGCTATCTGAAAGACAGAATTGTGTAATTATTTACAGAAGCATAACTAATATAAAATTTTGCATGTCTTCATATAAGACGGATTGTATGGAACCATATGTACTTTATAACATCTGTGCACACCACATTTCTCGCAAAATAAAATCATTTCATTTCATTTCATTTCGGTGCGTCGGTGTTTAGCGGATATCATACCATATTATCATAGGCTTTACTTCTGATAGTCGTATCTATCAATAGGGAAGCAACCGCTCCCACAGCCACCACCCCTGGCCCTAGCAGTGAGAGGGGAACAACATCCCTCCTTCTACGTCTTCAGTCCTCAACGTATTGGGTCGGCAGAAGAAACAGTTTCGGGGTCTCTCTCACCTGGTCTCTTCTTGCCATTACCATTACCAAACCATTCGTAGTATACGACAACGACTAACCAAGACCTCCCGTTGCTCACTATATCATGTATATGTAAATTATGTAACTGCTGGCAATGGTCTCTTCATTTCCTATGATAGTTTTTTTAACTAGTTTAACCCTACAACCGAAACACAGCTTACGAAGCAGGGAGCTTGGCAGTTAAAATAGAGAAGAATTAATATACGATTTTGTACAAAAGTTAACTAGATGAAATTATGTAAATGTGTCTTTGATATTTTTTAAAATTTACCTTCTCAGTTCCACATAACCTTGGGTGTATCAGCTGGCGGTATATCGGAGTTCGACGATAACCTGACATCCAAGGGTGGCTGGCCAAAGCCCTGGAAGAACGGAGCAAGGAAGGCCATGTTGAACTTCTGGAAGGATCTAGACTCTTGGTACCCAACGTGGAACCAGTCAGGAATGTTGGTTGACTATGTGAAAGTGATAGCCTTATAAGATACATCTTTACTTATCTTAAATTAAGCAACGGATTTTAATGTAGTTTACAGCGATAGATAGAGTGATTCAAGAGGAAGGTTTATATGTATAATACATGCGTGTTACAGTATAGAACAAGCCGAGACGTTCAAAGATTTGTAATGCATTCATGCGAAGCCAGGATAGGTTGCTGGTATAATATAAATATTTAAACAATGTGTATAAGATATATAGATATTAAAAAAAGTGTTTTAGCATCACTTACATAAGAACTATTATATGTCATTATACAATCATAAATATATATCGTTTTGTACAATATAAATAAATAGGTTTTATAAGCTAGAAATACTTATGTGGTTTAATTAAATATCTAATTGATTTTCTCATTTGACATAAATAAAGTGAACAAGTTAACAGCTTACATTATTTCATTATAAGCCACGATGGCTTAGAACGTTTTCACAAATTATTTATTCTCTACTTATAACTTCCATATTTTTCTTAACTACTTAGTTTCCACTAGTATTATTACTACAATTTTAATTGTATTTCCAGAAAATCAATTAATAATTAATATACGTTATGAACGTATATATGAAACGAAATAATACCTGTTTTGCGAAGATGTTTCAACTGGAAGATGTCACGAATGACCCTGCGCATATGACCATGTACATTCGTAACTTCTTTACATATACTGATTATTAAGTATTATTAACTTTACATATACAGTATAAACTATACTGTATTTAAAAATAAAATAAATGAAATGTTTTTATGAAAAAATAATTATTTAAGAACATTACATTAATCAAATCATTTCTTACTATTATTATAAACGAGAAAGTTTGTGGGTATGTATAGATGGATGGATGTTTGTTGCTCTTTCAAGCAGAAACTACTGAACGGATTTTGATGAAACTTTACAGCAATATAGCTTATACCTCAAAATAACATAGGCTATAATTTAAAAAGATATTATGTTAATTGGGCGAAATATAAATATAAATGTTAAGTAAGTGTGATACAGACGATTTTGCGCGGGTCAGCTAGACAAAAATAATTAATTCATATAGGATATTATAGCAACTTATGAACGTAAAATTTATGTAATAATGTTTTTTTTCTACCGTCCAGTTCAGTAAACAAATTCAATTAAGAAGAACTGGTAAGAAACTCACAAAAAATAAATATTTTTAATTATGTCGTCATTTAATATTAAGTTATTTTCATTAAAAATACAAACAGCAACTTTTTAAAACACAATCTTATTTATTTATTTTTAATTATATCAATTTGTTATTTCATTAAAATACAGCAATATTTTAAATACAATCCTACCCCACATTTATTCATAAATATGTAAAAATAAGAATTATATAAAAAAATTTATCTCGCATCCGTCGCATTCAAATCATCTCAGACTATTAACAGACAACTTCGTGCTTAGTAAAGTACCTACACATAGTGACGTCTGACTCATTGATAACGGGTAAGTACAGAAACCAATCCAATATAGCAACCAAAATAAAAAAAAAACTCACGTTTACTTAGTATTATAGATGAAAGGTAAATAACCTGCATCTTATTACTTCCACGAAATATTGTTATTATAACATAAAAAAATATCTACTAAATAATCGATATTTTTTTTAATCATAAATTATAATGGAACGATGCATCCGTTTGTGCTAACGGTTTACGCTGGCGGGGCACCAGTGGAGTGGAGAATGAGACTAGCATGAAGTAAAATTTTTATAGTTTATCATTACTGATTCACCAGGAATTTAGGTTATGGTTCCAAGGGAATCGCGTGGAGTCACCCTGATATAGTACAGTGCTATCAACGAGATTATTAGTCCACATAGCTAATAATATCTCTCTGTATATAATCTATAACATATATTTTAGTATCTGTACTTACTATTAATAATCCTATAAACATGCATACATTTATACCTAAGATAAACGTGATGGCTGTATTTATACTCAGTTTGTTATACGTATAACAATTAGAATTTAGTAACAGAAATAAACAGGTATAACCAATAATATAAAACAAGAATTAGGAGCACAAGATAATAAGTATGTCGCCTGAAAAAGTCTTGGTAGTTCTTTTTATTTTCCCGCGCAAACGAAATGCGCCACAGATACACAATATTGCACGGCGTGCAGTCTACTGCGGCTGCGCGCCGTGACGAGCCCGTCATGGCTGAATGCACAATGTTAACACTAGTATGAGTATTAAGACTGGTCACGTTTATAACAGGAAACTGAAAGAATGAAACTCTTTATGTTCCTCTCACAGAAGAGTTGAACTTCTTAGCATTTCATGGATTCACCGCGCGGGTGCTTCGTCCGCCGTATGGCACGGAGGGAGCAATTCCCGGGACTTCCACAATTATGTATAAAATATTAAAAAAAACACAATAATAAACAAGACAAAGAGGTAACAATGGGCGGCCTTATTAGGCAGGCAATAAATTATTACTTATAATACTTATAATACTTCCGTCTGGTAAGAATTAAGAAACAAAAAAAAATATTTTACTGGAATAGTAATCAATGAATACCTGATGAAAAGTGGTAATATACTTGAACAGCATCATGAACATCACGAATTGAGTTTCTTACACTAAGAACTAAGGTCCTCAGCAGGAGGGAGGAGATTGTTAGTAATGTGGACTAATAACCCTATTCCTAGCAATGTACCATGACCGTTTCCCCTGAAAATCATCGTGATAAATCTATAGTGAATTTACCACGATGGGTTAACTGACCCTGATCTTATCCTCCACTGGTGCCTCACCTGCGTTAACTGTTAGCGCAGGCGGGTGCACCATTCCATCATCCATAAAACCTCAAATAGGGAAATAGGTAGAAGAATAAAAATGATGACAATGTATTCAAAAACAAGAAATTCGATATATCTATCGAATTTCTTTGCAAAAGCAGAATATGTTTGCTCTGGCTGAGGACAGCGGTGGACAGTCTGAAGCCAAGACTGTCCTGCACAAAGCGAGATGGATGGTCATGTTGATTATAATAATAATCTATGCATATGTAATTGTGACTTCGGGAACGGTCATGAACTTATTGTCAGTAACAAGATGGCGTTCATAGTGAGTAGTCGTGTCTCAAGTTTAACCATAATTTTAATCGTATTGCAAATCGTGTCATCGCAGAAACGTCCGGATATTAAAGTGAATTTTGAAGTGTTGAAGCCTAAAGGACTACGTGTATGGATATCGGGTAATTATAATAAGTGAATTAGTAATTAACACGAAGAAATTATTGATACGATCAAAGTATCGATATTTCTTATCATGCATTACAACTTGTAAATGTTTTTTACTTCGTTAATGTAATAGTGGGTGTTTATTTATACAAAAAGATGGCGAATTTGATTCTCAGCTAACCCATTTAGACTTAGAGAAATTAATATTAAAAGTGTTTGGCGATTATTATCATGCATTACAAATTGTAAATGTTTTTCACTTTCAGTTTGATTTTCAGATGAACCTTTTAGGGAAATAATATTTCTACAAATGACTTTGGGTGTTCTAGGTAGTGCTTATATTAGAACAGAATTTGTTCTACCCTAAAAGATTAAAATTTTGCCTGACATAATAATATAAACAAATATGTACTACTAATCACATCGATGGTCTAGCGGTTTAGCACGGCGCCGCTTTACTTCCGATGGTTGCGGGTTCGATCCTCAAACAGTACAAACATTTATATTCATGAGAATTATTGTCTATGAGTGTTTTATGTATATGAGATGTATGTTATTAAGAAATGTATCTAAGTACCTATATCTATCAGTTGTCTAGTACCCATAATACCAGCTCTCCTTAGCTTGGGACTAGATGGCACTTTGTGAATTTGTATCCTAGGGTATTAATTTATTATTATTATTATTATCATAGTTGACTACGGTACGATAATCTACCCCCTCGGCTTAATTATGTTTGTTAACAGGGTTTCCTTCATCAGAGAGTCAATCTGAAATATAAATGTACACAAAGTTTTTTGCTATCTGTTATATTCGAATATTATCTTTTGGGTCTATTAGTTTGTACAATGCTATAGACATTTTAAACTTTAAATGTATATCATTAAATTCCAGATTCGAGTACTTCAAAGATATCTCTTTTCGCTTTTAATGGTCACGTTAACAGAGCCATTGCTAATGAGGATGTTGGGTCTATAAGGGGTGAGGTGATGAAGGCGGAAGATGGAAAATGGGCGTTTGAGGACCATAATGTAGAGCTGAAGGAAGGCGACGTTATATACTACTATTTTGTGATGTCGGTTGACAGGAGTGGATATGTGGTTGACAATTTAAGCTATACTGTACGAAGTAAGTCTCTCCAGTTATATTATGTAATATATCTTATCTATGGTTATATTAAGAACAAGCTATTTTCCGCGACGTGTATCTCTGAGAATTAATAAGTGAAAAAAATCATAAAATCAATCAAGTTTTTTTTTAGTTAATTCATTAAAAATAAACAAACATAAAACGGTTGGTTTATATTACTTATTCATAATGCATCACTGTTAACTTATAGGTAAAAAATTCATGACATCCTTTGAGTCTTTTTAATTTAAAATTATAAATATACAAACGAATAAAAAAGGCATTTTTTCGGATTAGAATATTAGTAATCTTGGAATGGAATCGGCAGTTATTTTAAATTCAGAAAAATTTTTCAAATTTCCCTTCATAAGACTTTTTTTTTACGAAGGGAAAATGCCTGAACCCGTCCTTCTCAGGGGTTGGACGGACGGGTACTGTGAGACTCCTACTCACCAAAAACCCCACGGCATCCCTTCATAAGACCTACCACAACTAATAGCGAATATTTAAAAAAAATTCCGAAATGATTCGCATTGTGTTCTTGATATGTAAGTTAGTATTTCAATACAAACTTAACTCAAATTGTGTAGGTACTCGATCATCTCATTAAGATATTACGTACCTATCTTGTTTTGTTTGTAAATAACAAAGATTGTGGTTAACGAATAAGAAGAAATACTAAAAGTTTTGATGTAATAATGATTATCTGAATTCATTTGAATGGTTTGTTCTAAGTAATTGATGATTAATATTCAACATTTATTCTCAGATTGTTTTATCTTGTAATTTCTTTTTCTACTATTTATATTAAAAAGATACTCTACTTTTTGAATAAAAATTAAATTATCTTCAACATAAAAAGTAACAAATGACAGATATTTGTGAAAAGTATCTCACTAATATTATAAACACCTCTCGCGTTTGTGAATATGGATGGGCGGATGGATAGATGTTTGTTACTCTTTCACGCATAAACTACTAAACGGATTTTCATAAAACTTTACAGTAATATAGCTTATCAGAATAATATATAGGCTTTCATGCGAGTAAAACCCCGGGCACAGCTAATATTCAATGATTATAAGATTCCTTGCATAACTATCAAAAACTGAATTTCTTAAATTTCTTCGCGAGACATACCAGCGACTTTTCAATCGACTGCATTTCTGGGACTTTACCTGTACCCAGCGAAAAGGAAAAACATGCGTATTTTACAATGTTCGTTTTAGTACAATGACAGTGAAGCTAACCCACTCGGTGGAAAATAGCAATTATTGCTAATAGATTAGCCCACTTGGTGGAAAATAGCAATTGTTGCCTATAGATTAGTCTACTTGGGAGAAATAGCAATTGTTGCCTGTTTGATTGCTTGCACAGTACAAACATTTCTTCACGTCATATAACATGTACATATTCATGAGTATGATTGTTTATATTGGAATGTGTATTTTCTATGTAGGTATATTGCATAAAAATGTATTGGTGCATAGTTGTTCATGCACGGGATTTTCATTTAATGTTAGACATAGACACCTATATAAATACCTATATATTATAAATAAACTGGCTTATAAAAAAAAATTCAATTGAGTTTCTGGCCAGTTCTTCTCAATTGGATATTAGATAGAGAGATACTGAGCTGGACGGTAGGGAAAAAAAATATAATGTAAAAACTTGACGTTCATAAGCGGCTACATGAATAAATGTCCTATATGAATAAATGATTTTTGAATTTTTAATTTTATTTAAATATTTATATCAGTTGTCTAGTACCCATAACTTATATTTTAATTTAATTTAATATTACTTATTGGTATTATTTGTATTTTATTTTTGTGTATTTTGTGTCTGTACGTACTAACGTTAATTATAAGAAATCTGTAATATTAACGAAATGGGCAAGTAAGCCTGATAATAAATAAAATATTATTATTATTATTATAACACAAGCTCTGCTTAGCTTGGGACTAGATCGCGCTCTGTTAAGTATCCAGTATTATGATTATTAGAAATAGAAATAGAAATAATCTTTATTCAAATAAACTCATTACAAGCACTTTTGAATAGTCATATTTTGATTCTACCGCTCATTCGGAATGCAGATTCTCACAAGAAGAATGAGCAAGAAACTTGTGTGTTGCTCTTTTTAATAGATGTTTTTTTATATAAATAATTACAGTGTAACAAGAGGCATGCGACAATCAACATAGAAATCGTTATTATATATTAGTTGTTAATCTTCGTAAATACCATTTTAGTGGTCTGTAACCCGTAAAATTTGATATCTACCATAAGTGTAATGAATAGTCATTTTTGTAAATGTGGTTTTTGTTCTTGATGTTGTTTAATTATAAAATTTTCAGGTCCAGACTTGAACGGTCGTCCAGATGACCGTTCAGGTGATACCACACCCAATTGCCAGCAATCAGTGACAGTGGTCTTCGGCAGCTCTACACCATTGTGTTCCGGACAAACAATATTCGAGGACCACTTCGATACTCTAAAAGAGGATGTGTGGAGAATAGAACAGTTCATACCAAATGAGAATCCTGTTAGTCGTAACTACAATATTAAATTTCCCGCAATATAACTACTCATATACCTATCTCACCAAACGTTCAAATCTAACAGGTTACAGATATATAACTTTTTTATGAATGATAATGGAGTGGTGTACCCACTGTGTGTTTGGGCTATTCTCTGGTGGTAAGACCTGTAACACTGGGACTTGTAAGATCTATTGTGCTCGCCCTTATTTAAAGTTCGCGCCGGCCCGTGAGGGACAAGATATTCTTAGGACCGCTGATATTTATCTTCTCAGGATATAGTGTATACTTTCCAAAGCAGATATTTCGTTTAAGGATGAGAGGGCTACAACCACATAGGATGTATAATGGCGTTTCCTCTTCAGCTTGACAAAATCTGCAGATTGATGTTAAGCTAAGGCCACTTGCTTTAATGGCATACACTGGCAGAGCTCCAGTAAAGGATCATAGGATTAAAACGAAGTTAGGTCAGTTAGCCCATCGAGACGAATTCACCGGGAATTAATCACGATGGTTGGTGGACTGGACTAGGTCTTCCGCTGGCCCTTACGGACCGCCGGGTGCGGGCCTCGAGCATACGCTCTTTGCCCGGGCGTACTGTTGGGGTGTGCCTACCCTACGTCGTTCATTTACCGGCTGCTTCCCAGCAGCCGGCTGTGGGCGTCGTGTGGCTGGAGTCAATAAGTCGCTCGCCGCCGGCTTAACGCCGCCACGTCACGTAAATGACGTGATCACTCGGTGGAGGGTAGGTCGCGCGGGAGCGCGCTAGTGGCGTCCGGTGGGCGCGCGTGGAGGGGGGCGAGGTCGCGCAGGTGCGCGTCGCGCCCGCTGTCCACGTGCGTGAAAAAGATGGTTGGTGGTTTGTGGTTAATTTTCCCGTATCCCAGGGCATACCGGCACGAGGAAATAGACCTAATATGCAACGTCCGTCGGATTGCTATCACTCACAGATAAGAGACTATCAGTGAAAGAAAGACCTACAATTATACTAAAGTTAACATTATTTCTATTTATCCAATGATTCTTTTCAGGAATACCCCTTCGTATCATACCAACGCCTGCCGTCAGATCCAACGGTCACTGTAGTGGATGGCAAACTTCGTATAGTACCAAAACTGCAGCAAAATCAACCGGGCTTCACGAATGTGTCTATAATTGTGGACAAATTGAATTTATTTGAGGGGTAAGTACTAATCTGTATGTAATTTATAATTTGGTGAATGTAGAACTCGTGCTCTTATAACTAATGCTCATGTGACTTAATAACATGAAATCTAACTCCGTAACATGGGGGGGGGATTGTTAGTAATTTGGACTAATGATCCCCTTGCTAGCAATGCACCATGTCAGGTTGACCTCCACGCGGTTCCCCCTGGAAAACATTGTGACAAATTCTTAGTGAATTTATCACGATGGGCTAACAGACCTGACCTCATCTTAATCGTCCTCCACTGGTGCCCCGCCAGCGTAAACCGTTAGCGCAGCCGGGTGCTCCATTTCATTATTACCCATAAAAAAACTCCGAAACATGTAAGATCCACTGCATTTTACCGAACTAGACTTTATACAAAGTCATCTTTGTCACCTTTCTCTTGTCTATTTCTTTAGAGACAATTTCAAGCAGCTTGCTTTATAATTGCTGTGTTCCGGTTTAATTGAGATCATTTAGTACCTAATATCAAATTTATCTGATTCTTAAGTCTATTACTGTACAAATTATATAATTTATTAGTAAACTTACCTACTTATATTTCACTAGATGCACCGCGCCAACTTGCTCTAAACAACCTACTGGAGCGGATATCCTACCGCCGGTAGTATCCGGCCGTATTACTACTAGTTTGGGCTTCAAGTTCAAATACGGAACGGTTCATGTTAGAGCTAAATTACCACAAGGAGACTGGTTATACCCAGGTACGGTTTATACAGATTTTTGCTGTCTATCTATGTATGTTCAGATATTAGGGATATTGTAAAGATCTGTCGATTCCTAAGATATTACGAGTAACATATACCTTTGCAACCCTTTTTTCCGAGGAGAAATGTTCAGTATAGAATTTAAGAGGGTGCATAATATTGTGGCACTTTTATCCACTACTACACTCCGATGTTCCACCAAACCATGCTTAGTCTTGGGAGATTTTTAACATTCGTCCGTGACTCCTGGTGTGGATCTGAACTAAAAGAGGAGCCACAGAGTGTGGGCGCAGAAACACTTCTGTGCCCACCCTCTATGGACCACTTAAGTCCTGTAACCTTTAGAAGAGATTTACAAGCCCTGGTGGAAACCAACAGTATTATAATATGGGTGAAAACATATCAAACTACCTAAACAATTATGCCATCAGAGTCGAATATATTGATATAATTATTTTTGTTTCCAGAAATCATGTTAGAGCCACTTCTAAATAAGTATGGGAATTCCAAGTTTGCGTCTGGTGTTTTAAAGATAGCTACAGCTCGAGGCAATAAAGATCTTAGAGCTGGATCGAGAGAATATGGAAATAAGGTACCTATACCACTGTAAAGTCAGATGAGGTAGGATTACGTTATGTTCGTCTTATTTGTGCAAATTTACACAAATTACTTGTATTGGTTTTTTAGCGAAGATGGACCAAATTGTAGGATGTAAATGTTGAAATTCTACCGAAGTAGGACCAAAATGTAGGTGATAGAATGAGTGGACTGTGTGATGTAAATCAAACAATGAATAGAAAATGGTAAATACTTATAATGAAGATACGTGTACAAACGGTTGTAAGGCAAAAAGTGACAATAAAAATATATGACAATTCTAAAAGAAAATACAATTAAAATTGTAAGAAAAATAAACATATAAAAATGTGCAAAGAGTTTGCAACATTACATAAATCGAGATGTGGCTTATGAATATTAGAACTTGTGTTTCAATTTATACTTTTAAATCTTCGGCTATAGAAAATCCGATAACCATCTGAAAGACCGCGATAAGATGGCCTCCGAACACTTTAATTTCCAATATACCTAGCTAAATGTATGGCAACACATGAGTGGTATCACCTATTTCATATTATCAACATAATTAGGTCTACGTTATTTCTACTACTGCTAACAAAGAGTATAATACTATGAGAAAGCAGTTCATATAATTATAATGACGTTAATTTTGCCATCATTGCCATTATCACATCATCATTCCAATTACATCATTTGGCATTCCAATTACATAACGAAAAAAGAACACAAGTGACAATTATGTCTAAAATCGATGCCTCTGGCCATTATATTTGAGATAAAAGTTATGAACATATGTATGTGTACCATATACCTACCTAATGTAAAGGATATTAAAAGTAGATTTTGTTCAGGTTCTATACGGAGGTCCCATTATAGACTTCGACTGCCGCCACGAGCTGTTGAACAACAACGTACTTACAAATAGTCGGCTGTGGGGTGATGATTTTCACGAATACAGTCTTCGCTGGTCTCCAGGTAATTATTATATAATCTTTGTTTGGAACACAGTAACAATTTTAATTATAAACAATGTGAACAAAGGCAGATTTCTAAGAAACATTTCTACCAGTCAACCCAACACTGCGTGACATAGCTAATAGTAGGTACATGGGTAACACTAGCACAAACTACTATAAAGTTGCAATCTCCAAATTTAAATATAATTATTTAAAATTCAACAAATTAAACTAAAATAAATAATTATATATTTTATTTCGATTCAAACTCAATCTCATTGATTCATGTAGAACCTTTCGGTCTCTTATGTACGTCTTAATTTTTTTCATATTCCTACCTTCCAGTTCGGTTAGCTACTTCAGTTTTTGTTCCTTTCTTACCCCGTTGAAGTTCTGCTCTTCAGGACTTTTCGATAGTTGTACACTACCTAAGTAACTTCTAGGTACCTATTTTTTATTTTTCGTTCTGTTCACAGATCGTATAATTTTGTTGGTGGACGGAGTAGAGTGGGCGCGAGTAGAGCCGGCTGCGAGCGGGCTCGCCGGCCGCCTGCCGCGCTCGTGCCTCCATGTGCCTCGGACGCTGCTCGCCTTGGGGACACGGATGGCACCGTTCGACGAGCCGGTAAGCATTTTTTATAGCTAGGGAACAAACGAGCTTGCGGCTCACCTGATGGTAAGTGATTATCGCCGCCCATGAGCTTCCTCAACACCAAAGGTATTGCAACCGCGCTGCCGGCCTTTTAAAAGAAATAAGCTCTTTTCTTGAATTTCATTTTCTTCAATAAACACGCACAGTTGTGTGTTCTGAATTGAACAAGATTCTTCTGACTCCAAAGCGAAGCTTGTTCGTAGAAATCATACATAAAACAAAGATAATAAAAAGAAGTGTCATAATTTGGTACCGTGCAAAATATAGCAGATAGCAGCAATAAATTAAAGGCATTGTCAACTGTAATTGCAATACATGACATGCCCATATTTCGCTCGGTTATTTTGAATTCAACGTGGCATAGGGCGAGTTTACCTTCGGCTCTCGAATTAATTTTTGGTTTAATATCAGTTTAGTCAATTTCAATTGATGCAGTTTTTCTAAGTTTTGACTAGATTTAAACTCACTATCTCTTGGGCATAATTCTGGGTATTTTTCCACTTAACGAATAAGGAATACGAAATAATAAATTGCGGGGTCAGCTACTAAGACGATACTTCTGTTTCCAGTTCTACTTAACCTTGGGGGTATCAGCTGGAGGTATATCAGAGTTCGAGGATAATCTGACATCCAATGGAGGCTGGCCGAAGCCCTGGAGGAATGGAGCAAGGAAGGCCATGATGAACTTTTGGAATGACCTGAACGCTTGGTACCCAACATGGAGTCAATCAGAGCTCCTCGTTGATTATGTGAAAGTGGTTGCTTTATGATTTTATATATACCTACGTATAATTATTGAAAACTGCATTTTATTTTGCAGTAAAAATAAATAATTTTAAGCTAATAGTACTCATATTATAATAGAAATAAATCTGCTTAAATAAATAATACATTTAACGGAAAATATTATGACCTACATACTCCTAAAGTTGGGAAGGGGATTGTTAGTAAAGTAGACTGCTGACCCCATTGCTAGCAATGGGCCATGTCAGGTTGACCTGCGTGCGGTTCTACCTGGTAACCATCCTGATAAATTCCTGGTGAATTTATCACGATGGGCTAACTGACCTGACCATTCATCATCCTCCACTGGTGCTCTGACGGTAAAACGTCAGTGCAGGCGGATGCATTATCAACCATTAAAAAAATTACAAGTTACAACATACCTACAAACATTTGCACTTTGGTATAATAGCATTATGATTCTGTATAATTATAGAAGGAATTTTCTGCTTGATAAATCTAATTTCCAACTATTGTAATATTGTAAAAAGGAATATTAATATTATATAGACGAACTAGCTACTCGCCCCGGCTTCGCACGGGTATATATATATTATATATATAAACCTTGCTACTCTATATATTAAAAAAAAAACGATTCAAAATCCGATGCGTAGTTTTAAAGATTTAAGCATACATAGGGACGTACAGACAGCGATATCTACTTTATTTTATACTATGTAATAATGATGATAGTATAAAACAAAAAAAAAGATAGAGAATGCCAACAAATTCAAAGATTTGTAGTGGGTCCGTGCGAAGTAGGGACGGGTCGTAAGTAATGGGTAAAAACAAAGGCGTTGGTGATTGTGCATTTAAATAATTAAAAAATTAAATTCGGTCTATTTATTTGAACAGTGTTTCTAATACAATAATAATGTACGTTACAATTTTTGACAATACAGAGTTGAAAGGTCGACATTTTTTTCACAATCTGAGCATGTCATTTATTTATGGTTAAATTATTACAAATTTATTTGATGAGACATTTTTGTGTTGAATAATAACATAATACCTGAAATATTGTGATAGTATTTATGCATATAAGTACTGTGATAATATTTCGGATATTATATAAGTATATATAATTTGAATAACAAAAAAAAACAAATATATACCGCAATAAAGTACATAAACCGTTTGCGTATTTAAGTGATATTAAAATCTATAATAAATACTACAAACAATATTACAGTAAAACTTAGTAAAAAAAATATGTATATATATATCCCTTTCTAATCTTATAGGATAGAAAAGGATAACTTTAGATTTTACTTCGATAAATACTCAGATTGTATAATTTTAAGATGATCAAATACGACACTTGTATTAATGTAACTTTTTTATACGTTTGCAAATATTTTTTGTGCAGATATTGTACTTTTTTTGGTCATGAGCAAACAAACTAATATGTATCCACTTTAGTACTCTGTCACTGTAACATTATTGACAACACAAAACATTTTACCCAATTATCAATAAATAATTACTGTGACAAGGTATTAAAGCTGTTGCAATCTGTTATTCGTACATTTATGTCTATTACAGGACTAAAGTAAATTATCTACTTATTAATCAACTCTTTAAGGTTCAGAATTGCTTCACATGTGTGCGTCAGCTAGAATTTGTATTTTATTACTAACATGGTGTTGTGGCTGTTAAGCAGAGCTGTGTAGAGTACGAAGAATCTCGTACAAGTACGATATTTTGGATCTTTGGTATTACGAACTATGAATACATCATCCTCACAATTTTGTACGAACTTTTTCTATCGGTCCTAGTTAGGATCAGTACTGAGCTTGTATTTTGGGTCCTATTATTATATTACAAGATTTTCATTAGACTCTAACTAGACATGGAAAATATTGAGAAACTATGTAGAATACAAAATATTGGATTGGTGTGAAATTGTATGCAATAATACTAAAACACAACATCATTTCCCTGATATATACCATCTTATATGTAAACAACGACAAGTGAATACAATTTCACCACAAACCAACTTTATAAAACACTACAAATACTTGATTTTATTTAATTTTACATATACATCCAATTCAATAAATTTCTACTATTTAAATTAACATATAGTTTAGTATTAGATGTGATACTTATATATCTATAGAGAATCACCTCCTACTCTCTACGTGTAACATCAAGACATGTTGTAAAAGATGATACATCTAGCTAATTTGAGTCAGTTAAATAAAGCACGATAGACAAAGTTGTGTATTTTTTTCAACAGAAATGGATAACAGACTCTTAGCACATCTTTTAGTATATCCGTTAGTACGTCAAGAAGTATAGTTTTAGAAAAATCACACTACTCAAAATAATAATAATATCTGAGAACTATTCACACAACGCCATCTAGTCCCCAGCTAAGCAGAGCTTGTGGTATAAGTACTATAGACAACTTATTAATTACATACTTTTTTTTGTAAATACAGACATAATATACAAAAATAACTCCCATATAGATACAAACAATCATTCTCATAAATACAAATATTTGTACCGAGCAAGGAATCGACAACCCGACCATACAAAGTCTAAGTAACGTCCCTTGTTTGTATATGAAATTAAATAAGAGAAATGAAGCCCTGGTATTGCATATTTACAAAACAACATTAACTAGATGTGTCCTCTTTTTAAACATAACAGCTAGAAATATAATATATTCAATGCCAAGTATATGATTATAATTTGGACTTAATTAATATCAAATTCATTCAAGATATGATTCAGAATCACATATATGGGTAACACTACTTATTAACACTCTTTTTTTTTAATACTGCGTATTTTTAACATACGTAGATGACCCAATAAGAAACAATAGTTGCATAGAGCATAAAGCATAAATATTATTAACGATACTGGTTTTAAACAACCTACAAAGTCAAACAATTACATAGAGAATACAGATTAAATTAGTGCTTATATAATCTGTGACAGCGTGGACGCCATTTTGAAAGCATAACACTGGCCGCCATTTCAAGCTCATAACGTGATAGTATATTATTTAAAAACACAGTGAAAACAGTTTATAGCGAATAAATAACCTACAATCATCTTGCATTATTTGAAGCACCAATCTTAGACCAAACTCCGAAGTTACGAGGTATTTTATACTTCTTTATGGCCGATTTTTTCTCTCACAATCCCTTATATTTTTATATATGTATAAAGAGTTAGTCGTAAAGGGTACATGGTATATAATAGTATCATTAATACTGTAGGCTTTTGTTACAGTATTAACGAAACTTATCTCAAAGAAGCAAAGTGAAAAATCTATATTATTATTACAAAGTAAACTTTCCGAGGTTATGGGTGTTAGTGGGTAATCTCTGGATCTACTGAGCCGATTTTGATAATTTTTTAAGCCTATTTAAACGAGGAATGTTATATAATATCATGCTACGACCTACAGGAACCGAGCTGCGATGAAAAATCTTACTAAAACGGGGAAAATAGTGCAAACGAATTAGCGCGAATCTCCACTTTGTTTCTTGATTAAAGTTATTCAGTTTAATAAGTATTCTAACTGCTTTATAACTAACAATTTATACATAAATTATAATTATACAATTTATATTTGAATACATTTTTTATTTAAAGCATATTTATAAGTGTAAATTATAATAGTTTTTTTTTTAATATACGAAATCAAAGTAGATGAATTTTAAAGAGGTTAAAAACTTGGTGTCCTGTATTTTTAATGTTTAATTTGCCAATAACTTAATCATCTTTTATCACAGCCGTCACTCTACCAATTGAAGTTTTGGGCTAACCAATAAAAAAAATATCTATAGGTACTAAAAAATACCAGGACAGAAGAGCCACGTAAAAGGTTTTGAAAATACAAAATTAGAACTTGTCAAAGTAGTTAATAATTTCATTAAAGACAATACCATAAAGTACAAGGAGATCAGAACCATGCAGGAGGTTTGTGCCAAAGAACATATGTAAATAACTGTATCAAATATTATTGAATCAAAAATAAAGTACCAGAAAATCAGAACCAGACAGGAAGTTATATCGTACGATGTTTCCAACACACTTGGTTTTAAATAAACTCAAGTATAACACTGTTGCTTTCTCGCAGTTTTATTTTTTTAAATCAGCGTGCACTGACCATAGCCGCACTGCGGTAAGTTCGAAATTTGATTTTAAATAATAGCTAATATTACGGTTATGGAATATAACTTCATTACTAGCGTTTATAACGCACGCGTTTTATTAGCTTATATATCGAAAATTGTTGAAATTAGACCCACATTACGAGCAAGTGTTGAAAAATTTATTTTCGACTTTACTCAGCTTTCTTTAGCCTATATCTATGTTCACCCATACTTAACATTTGTCATTAAAACTTATTAACAATTCCCTCCTTTTTACGTGAAACTTACACGAACATAGATTTCACGTGACTTTTTCATTGTATGTAAAGTTAATTATATCTAAGTTATTACCAACTTTTAGAAGAAATACAAACCTATTCGACGACCTCGGTGGTATAGCGGTCTAGCACACCGCTTTACATCCGATGGTCGCGGGTTCGATTCTTCGCACGGCACAAACATTATGTTTATTGTATCGGTCTGGGTATTTTTATGTATAATATGTATTTACCTAGCAGTTATCTAGTATCCATAGCACAAGCTTCAGTTAGCTTAATTTGGGTCAAACAGCGCTGTGTGAATTGTCCAATTTAAATTGATATCTATTACCAACCCGAGGCATTAGACATTGCTACCACCGTGTGGTGAGAAGTACGGTTGCTGATGTACTTATTTCTCGAGATACCGTAATAAATCCACTACTATGGTTACTACATGCACCGATGCATAGTGCTAGTCTATATTTATAATCGATAGTCAATTATTTAGAGAAAATCGCATTATCGCTCTTTTAAAATTCATCCTAGATTTTTTAAAGTATAAAAACATAACGATTTTTGTGACCTATTTATAAAATTAAACTGTATGGTCCTTTTCTTTCTAGCTGTTTTCGATTGAAAGACAGTATTTACACAACAATATATTCCAAGTATGATTTTTTTTATTTATTTTTATATTTTCAAAATAGGATTGAATAATTGGATTCAATTCAGTTAAATGTTCGAAGAGAGCTACAAACCTCCCGACTTACTGATGGTTTAGTTTCACAACCAGATATAACAGTTTCGCTATACTATTAGTTGCCAAGGATTTTCTAAGAAGCGAGTTCTCTGTTAACTAAGAATTCATAATAAATTGAATAAAAATTACTTCTATTTTATTATACTTATACTATAATATATAAGAATATAATAAAAACGACTAAAGGAAATATTTCTTTCTCTACTCTCTAGCTATAAAGGATTTATTACAACAGGAAATCTTTTCAGTTACAAAAGAGAAACGCCTTGGTTTATTTTTTGTGTCTAAATACAATATAATATTGGATTCTAGTCTAAAATATTTCATGGCATTTTAAACCGTAAGCCTTACAAAATATAGTTGTTAAAATGATGTAATTCAGTTTTCTTCATGTGATAAAAACAAACAAAAAAAAATACACATTCATATGTAATTTCCAGACTAGTTAACATATAGTGATATTTACATTTTTTTATTATAATAAATACTGGTTCCAAATTATTATTAAAATACAAATTACATAGAAATAAATACACATATTTCATATAAGTAAACAATATTCCATATAATTTCATATTTAAATAAAATTACTTCATTTTACATTAGCCATTTATACAGCTTGTCTTACTGGCACATACAAAATTATAAGAATAGAAAAAAAACACTGATGTTCTAAATTTAAAATGAATTTTCTATATTTTTTTATAGTTTATTCGCAACGCTATTCTTACAATTATATTTTGCAATTTAATAGAAAATTTATATTAATTAGAGTAAATAAAATTCAATTTCCTATAACAAACCATTCCAAACACAAATAGACAAAGACAGACATACTAATTGTTCAGATCGTATTAATCCAACATATAATTAACATTTATCTCAACATGCAAAAAACACCATGCAAGTGGAAATTCCATTACTTAAAAATGCATATACGTGTATAGAAATAGATAAAAAATTAAATGCGTCACTAGATCTGCTTAGAAAACAGTGGTGCACTATTTGCGCTATTATTTTGCTAAATATTTGATCAATATTATTAATTGTACTCACTAGTAAACGGCATAGTTACCGTGAAAATATATATTATACATATATATATATATATGTAGAATATATAATTATAAACAACCATTATAACATTATATACTAGCGACCCGCCGTGGCTTCGCACGGATGCAATATCGCGGCATCACATTCCTAATCTTTGAATTTTTCGACTTTTCTGTACCCTAATATGTATAAATACATACATACATATGAACCTACCTCATACATCACTATCTATTACTGAAATCTTTATTAAAATCCGTGAGTAGATTAAAAGAAATAAGTGAACAAACAGCGGAAGCGACTTCATTTTATACTATGTAAAGATGTATATATATGTATATATCATCTCTCAACTCGCTCATCACAACTTTACAGCAGTCACCGCAGGTCCATCGACTACTTACGAAATAATTACATTTTAGTAATTATTACACGGCCAAATTAAAAATGTACTCGGACTACTTATGAAATAATTATATTTGTAACTATTACACGGCTATATAGAGAAAGGTATAGTAATGTATGTAAAGCCGATTCTATTTAACAGCGATTTGATATTTCATCACATTAATGATAATTTTGGTGATACAATGATGATCATTAAATATTTGTATGATAAAAATGGAATTGTGTTAATTTTATGACTGCCGCCTACACTTACTTCAATATCTATAATAAATAAAACTAATATAAAACATTTTACTATAACAATAAATAATTACTAATAATAACACAGGACAATTCACAGGTTAGTCCTAAACTAAACAGACTTTAAATGCAATTTATTTTAAAACAACTCGTGTTTGTATCGAGAATCGTACCCGCGACTATCGGTAGAAAGCAGCGTGCTAAACACTAAGGTAGTTACATTATTCCTCTTTCAAAAATTAAATATGAATGTCGTATAATAACGATTCATAGTTCTTTAATTCATTGTGACAATTTATCGATACTTATCGATTTTGACATGAATGAAAATATCGATGTTTCGATAAATAATATTCAGCACCAAAATTAATTTTGTGACTATTACAACCAAAAACATTGCTAAAAAAAAATCTAAAATATCGCACTATATATAAATAATTTGCTACCACAAAAATTCGAACACAATCTGAAAGAAGAAGATACGTAATTTTTTTTTTTTTATATTTCATTATCATCATCATCACTAATTTCCATCTGATGATTACAATTATATACTTAGAAAGTAAATTTAATGGACGCCAGACGACAATCAGAAAATTAACACATCATTAGTGCGATTAAATACATTAAATATGATTAATTATTTTACATTTATTCACATGTATTGCATACATATATTACTGACTACAAGAGGATCATATTCGATTTTTTTTTTAAATCTTCAATCACTCTGCGACTTAGTCATAACAATTTTTCTATTTCTCACAGTGCACTCTATATTTATACAACACGAATAACCGTAGCAGTATTAGGGGCTTATGTAAAGCCATGCTGCCATGGGGTCTTTATTTAAATTAAGTTGTTTTTTTATGTAATTCGAATTAGATACAAGGTGATGTGCCACCTAATGGTAATAACTCTTTATTGCGCACAGACAATAAATAAAGAACTGTAGCGTTCAAAACAACATAAATTCATTTAAACTTTAATGCATAAGTATATTATTACATGTGCATATGGTGAACTTAACACCAAAAGGCGTTCTCTGTCAGTCAACCATAAGGCAAACAGAAATTAGTAAGCGGCGCATTAATAAGGTATCATTGCTGCAATCTCTTACAGTTTCTTACAGCCTGGTAAGTGATAACCGTCTCTCTGGATGCTGCTACGGTTATTAGTGGTGGAAACATTTTCACAGATCACTATAATAGATTGTCCCTACATTAAAAGGTACATCATCATGCACTATATTCACTCGGGGTAAGAGATGCATTTCTAATAATACAATGATAAATATCTACGCAAACGAGGTACAGTCCACTGACTTTAGCTTGGACTTCTTGGAGTGAGATTTCTTTATGATAGATGTACAAATCTCAAAGATATTAGATAGAAAATAGAAATTATTGAGAATCAGTATATTCCTATTTACTCACGAGTTACTGCATACAACGTTATGTTATTACATGTGCAACAACAATACAGTAGTACAGAATTAATATGTTATAAAGTATTTTTCACATTAATTTTATTAAATATTTTTGTACATTTTTAACTTTGACAAAATATAAGCGGAATGAACTAAATCATCCGCACCCCCTTAAGAGGATGCAGGTTGGAGCCTCGGGGCGAACCCCTTTGCCTCAGCATCAACTCCGGGGAAAAGCCCCCAAAATGACAGCTGTCAAAATACTCTACTCCCCGCCTCGTCTGCATAGTCCTTAAACTAATGTCATGACATACTTCAAACTACATATACGAACTAGACCCGAAAAATTCACAACTAAACATAAATTCACTAAACCACTGCAAATCACTATTCCACTTAATAATATCATGTAAATCATAAGAAAAATAAATAAATACCCATTAAAAAAATAAACGCAAAAATACTGCGGCATTCGTAACGGAAACAAACATTACAAACGAATAGGAATATCGATTCTGCCATCGTATATTGAGAACGGTCCCTGCGATTGGTCCACACGACGGCAGTTGTCACAGAAATCACACGCCTCTGTCACACGATCATCGTTCGCGCGTTCCGTTACGTCACGCTTGTGACGTGACGATTCCGAAACGCAACACAGTCGTACCGGGGCACGGGGAGCGCTCTTACTGTGACAGGGGCCGCTGTCACCGTGACAGTCATCGCTGTCACAGTTACAGGAGCTCCGCGACTCGCTTAATGCTCCTTCTTCTCGGTCTCGTGTCATACGAAATCCATCGCGTCGTGGGCCTTCGTCGAGAACTTGCCGAACGAGCGCTTTTTTAGCGTCCGCTCGATCACTTTCTTAACTTCGCTCACAATGAATACACTAGATGTGAGGCAGACTAGGAATATGAGATCTGGAAGAGATGATGTATAAGATGTATAAGTTAGATGCTGAAAGAAAGAAAGAAATATCTCAAGAAAAGGTTTCGGAACACCCCGTATATATATCCCTGCTAGGAGTCTATTCCTCCTAGACAATTGCAGGTTGGGGCCTCGGGAAACCACCTTGCACCGGCATCTTCTCCGGGGAAAAGTAACACCCTGGGTTACCCTTAAAAGTTGCTTGCTTTTTAGGCATGGGCAATGACCCCGACTAGCCGATAGGAGTATCAGTCATGCCAGATTGTTGCGTTCATGATTAAAATATAACATACCATGTCCAGTTAGGGCTTCGGTCTGGAACACCCGTTGCAATGGTGGGAAATATACCACTAGCATCTGACCGATCAGACTCAGCGTCACAGCCACCAAGAACATTCTACATAAAAAGAAATATAAATAATAATTCGTTATATAGTTATCTAGATACATCAATATAATAATTGCAATTAATTATAGCTAGTAACACAAACTCTATATTGTCTACTAAGCACTGTCATGTTTAAACTGTGTCACTCCACCTTACATTTTCCTATTATCATTTAGTATATAATAATATTTTTAGGTACATTTATCAGTTCATTATCATATACACCTCCTCAACGGACAATATTATATATTTATTCGCCACAGAGACTACTAATTTTTCAGCATGGATATTTGTTATCACATTATTATTGACAGTTGCTAGGTTTGTAAATTCGTTCGTAAGTTCGCTGATAGGTTCAATTTAACCCTTGTACAGAATTATCGAAGTTTATTTCAGAGAGAGAAAAATAGCCACATAAATGCTATATTTATGTTGTATATGAGTATAAATAGACCACATACTTTTAATAATTTAATATCTTCAAAATATGGAACTATTATAAGTATATTACGAAAGAAACCCTATGTGACTGGTAACACTTATTATCTCTAAACTATATAACGTCATCTAGTATCTAGTCACTTTATTATTTTAAGAATTTAATACTTACTTGTTAGAAAACAGTCCCACTTGGAATACTGATTTGGTCTGCGAGCGGCAAGAGAGGGCATTGAACATGTCGAACAGGACGAAACAAGTGAACGTCATAGTCGTGTCACGAGGTGTTATCTTATTATCGGACATCTGAAACAAACGACATATGCTTTTTTATGGCTGTTGTGGTGACAGGATCGGTGGTGAGAGTAAACATACAGTAGGGTTGGAAGTTGTGTATTTAATTGTTACATCTTCAATACTCTAAGGTACTAGTTATTAAGACTATATATATTAAACGCTACATGATTTACGTGACGTTATATAAAGTGATTTATCTAACGCACAATGAATATATTATCATACGTGCTGAAATTCAATTACTATATCACACTGTAAGTCCAGATATTGGCAACCTGAAATGAAAGAAGAATTACATAAAAATAATCAATTTTATGCAATTATGCTTAATCTTTGTACATTCTTCAAGGCTGAGGGTCGTGACCAGAGAATGCAGAAGGAATGTTTCGAATACCGAATGAATCCAATACTCTCTTTCCTGTGCCAATTGGACCGCCGAATGGAATCAGTCCATCGTGCAGGTGCCCTACTTCTGCCCCTTCTTCCGTCCACATGGCATTCCATTATGAATTTATGTAATTGTAATAGTAAACAAACTGACGGTAACTGATGGTAAGTGGTCATCGTCGCCTCAATACATGATACGTACTGCAGACATCACGTTATCACGTGACGCCTGAGGCGTTGCTATTTTGAAGGTCATGCCTCTTATAACTTCACTACCTTACCTTACCTTTCAACAAAAACACATCTAAAACAAGCTGCTTGGTGGCTGAAATATGTGATACTCAATTACCTACGCCGATGATTATTTTTAGTCTACCAAGGCTTATACCATTCTTTATCTAATGCTCAAACAACGATGACCATACCTCTCTGTTGAAGACCCAGAGGGTGCCAGCGATGATGATGGCAGCGGAGAGGAGTACGTTGAGGAGAAGAGAGCGCGAGATGATGCGCCGCGTGGTGTCCCGCGGCCTGCGAGCCACCACCTCGTGGTCCACCGGCTCCACGCCCAGCGACTGCGCCGGGGGACCTGGGGGACCCGAAAATTCACTTTACACCATTTATAATAACACTGGATTTTATAAGTATATACTTAAGAAAATATATTATATATAAGTATTTGTTGTACTTGGCTTTTGTCGCAAAAGTCGACGACAAACCGAAAGCAGCTGATGGAACAAGTCATCACAGCTAACAGATAAATAAAAACCTCTTTACCATGGTTAAAAAAAAAGCTAAATAACCAATACTCTGTGAATATCATTTCAACCTTGTTTCTAATAATTGTAACTATTGGTAGAAGAGTTAAGAGTTAGCAATGTGGACTAATAATCCTATTGCTAGCAATGTACCATGTCAGATTGACCTCCACGTGATTCTGCCTGGTAACATGATAAATTACTGGCGAATCCACTTACGCGAACATCCTTTATGTTAACGGTTACTGACGGGGTACCCCGCCAGTAACCGTTCATCATTCCACTATCATCCATAAAAAAAACTATTTTGAACGCCTAAGGCAACAAGTTGCGCGGAGCAACACTGCTTGTATCAACTCTCGCGCTCGCATCGTCGTATTTGTCAAAAGTTGAGCTGATGGGTAAGAGAAATAAAATAATCTTTCATTGTCACAAATAACATCATTGATTCTTCATTTATCTTTATGCATTCACTCTTCAGAATCAAATTTGTGTCTCTGTTATTGAGGATCCAGGAGTGACCCAAGGGCCTTACGCTACGCTAAATTAATGTCACTAAATAATATAATGCAAAAATTACTTTCAAGTTTGATTATGAAAAAACTTGTATCTCTGTTATTGAGGACCCAGGAGAGATCCCCCTTGGATATACGCTACGCTAAATTAATGTCACAAAACAATACAATGTTACAAACCGTCCATAATAATGTTGATCCACAGTATCTGCATAGCGTTGAGAGGATTCGGTATACCCATGAGTGTTGCCAGCGCTATGAGAGACAACGCCGCGATGGACGTCGACAGTTGGAAGCGCACGAAGTTCCGGATGTTGTAGAATATACATTTACCCTCCTCAATCGCGGCTCTGTACATAAATAATACACATATAGCAATAATGTACCTGGACAATTGACACGTCTTTTAATACCAAGCTGCTTAGCTGATAGATATACTTAGATGACTTTAGTAAATACATAGAAAACACCAAGACTAATGTATAATCAATCAAACAATAGTATAAATATATCTAACAATTATACAAAAGTTATATATCTTACTATATAAAATTCTCGTGTCATAGTTTTCGTTCCCATACTCCTCCGAAACGGCTTGACCGATTCTCATGAAATTTTGTGAGCGTATTGAGTAGGTCTGAGAATCGGCTAACATCTATTTTTCATCCCCCTAAATGTTAGGGGTAGTCCACCCCTAATTTTTTTTTATTTTAAGGCCAAACAACGTTTGTCGGGATAGCTAGTATCATATATAGTTTATTTGAATAAAGATGATTTAGAAATCATATATATTCTATTCTAATATAATATAAATCAAATGTACCTAATTGAATGGCAGTATATGTTATTTTCATGGGAATATACTGGTTATATTAATTACATATTATTATTAATAATAATAATACTTACATAATAGTGGCGAAGTCATCATCAACGAGAATCATATCAGCTGCCTCCTTGCATACGTCAGTACCATTGCGACCCATCGCAATTCCGATATCGGCTCGCTTCAGTGCCACACCGTCATTCACACCGTCACCTGTGACGTCATATTTCATTACAAACCTTAACTAATATCCTATAAAATCACATAAATAATCTATATATTAATACTAAACCAAAACATTGTAGGCCTTTTTACGAAAATTGCGAGAACGGATTACTGCCACGTATTTTACACACACACAGATATATACGCATTTGTATATCGTTAGTCTGTGATCAAATTGGGAATAGATTAATATTGTTTGTATTTAATATTATTTGTCTAATCTCACTGAATGTTAAATTAATTATGGACCAATTGCAACCACTAGTCGATCACTATTCTAAACTAATAACACCTTATATAATTTAATTAATTAATGAAGTCCCTATCTTTATATAAACCTGCCTAACAAGCGGCTTTTAATCCGATATTAATCCAATCAGATACCTGAAAGTTGTTTCTTCCGCAGCAGATGCCGAGGCAAAAGGCTGTCCTAAGCTTCACCCCCTAGGGGGGTGCGGATGTCCTGTGTTATGTCATGTCCATACAAAGGGGTCATCCATAAATTACGATTAAATATCAAAACACGATGTTTAAGAAATTATGAAAGGGTCATAAAGTTATGAAATCCGAGTGGTGTAATACACACAGGTCCGCACCCCCTTAGGGGGGCTTTATATAATAAAATGAATAAAAGCTCTCGTAAAATAAAACATACACTTTGTTAAAAATGCCAATTACACTGACCTGTCATTCCTACAATATTGCCGAGCCGCTGTAATGATTTCACAATCGAAAGCTTATGTTTCGGGGTCACCCTGTAGAATACACTCACCTGCAAACAAATACGTCACCATTATTGGTCGTAGAAAGCTATCTAGTCCCACGTTACGTAAATTGAAATATATTTCACTAAAACAAAGACTAACTGCCCCTTTTTTATAAAACATACAGCTATTTAAAATATTTAGCTATAGACAAAAAATGGCGGATTTCAAATAGCTTATGTAATTCGAAAAGAAAGAAATGTAATTACTACAATGATCTTTGAATGCGGAGATGTGCTAAATTATGAATAAACTCACTGTATCTATAATCCTGTCGAGTTCCTCATCCGTCATAGAATCCAACTGTTCCCCACTGAGTGACTGAGAGTGCTTTACATCCAGGCCAACCATTTGAGCTGTAAACAAAAGCGAGCTTAGTTGTAGTTTTTAAACATATTAAAATATACAAACAAAAGCTTCAGGATCAAAATTCAAATTCAATTTGTAAGTCATAGTCTTTGACCCCGTTTCGTAGGACAAAATCTGTGTTGTGCAGTGTGTACTGTAAAGTGTGTATTATAGAGTCTTGAACACACCGTACTGTAGAGTGTGACGCACATGTGACGAGTGTGAGTGTGAGTGTGCAGTGAGTACGCACCGACTGCGAGCGCGGTGGGGCGCGCGTCCCCGGTGACCATCTTGACGACGACGGCGGCGCGGCGCAGCGTGGCGAGTGTGAGTGTGAGTGTGAGTGTGCAGTGAGTACGCACCGACTGCGAGCGCGGTGGGGCGCGCGTCGCCGGTGACCATCTTGACGACGACGGCGGCGCGGCGCAGCGTGGCGAGTGTGAGTGTGAGTGTGAGTGTGCAGTGAGTACGCACCGACTGCGAGCGCGGTGGGGCGCGCGTCCCCGGTGACCATCTTGACGACGACGGCGGCGCGGCGCAGCGTGGCGAGTGTGAGTGTGCAGTGAGTACGCACCGACTGCGAGCGCGGTGGGGCGCGCGTCCCCGGTGACCATCTTGACGACGACGGCGGCGCGGCGCAGCGTGGCGAGTGTGAGTGTGAGTGTGAGTGTGCAGTGAGTACGCACCGACTGCGAGCGCGGTGGGGCGCGCGTCCCCGGTGACCATCTTGACGACGACGGCGGCGCGGCGCAGCGTGGCGAGTGTGAGTGTGAGTGTGAGTGTGCAGTGAGTACGCACCGACTGCGAGCGCGGTGGGGCGCGCGTCCCCGGTGACCATCTTGACGACGACGGCGGCGCGGCGCAGCGTGGCGAGTGTGAGTGTGAGTGTGAGTGTGCAGTGAGTACGCACCGACTGCGAGCGCGGTGGGGCGCGCGTCGCCGGTGACCATCTTGACGACGACGGCGGCGCGGCGCAGCGTGGCGAGTGTGAGTGTGAGTGTGAGTGTGCAGTGAGTACGCACCGACTGCGAGCGCGGTGGGGCGCGCGTCGCCGGTGACCATCTTGACGACGACGGCGGCGCGGCGCAGCGTGGCGAGTGTGAGTGTGAGTGTGAGTGTGCAGTGAGTACGCACCGACTGCGAGCGCGGTGGGGCGCGCGTCGCCGGTGACCATCTTGACGACGACGGCGGCGCGGCGCAGCGTGGCGAGTGTGAGTGTGAGTGTGAGTGTGCAGTGAGTACGCACCGACTGCGAGCGCGGTGGGGCGCGCGTCGCCGGTGACCATCTTGACGACGACGGCGGCGCGGCGCAGCGTGGCGAGTGTGAGTGTGAGTGTGCAGTGAGTACGCACCGACTGCGAGCGCGGTGGGGCGCGCGTCCCCGGTGACCATCTTGACGACGACGGCGGCGCGGCGCAGCGTGGCGAGTGTGAGTGTGAGTGTGAGTGTGCAGTGAGTACGCACCGACTGCGAGCGCGGTGGGCCGCGCGTCCCCGGTGACCATCTTGACGACGACGGCGGCGCGGCGCAGCGTGGCGAGTGTGAGTGTGAGTGTGAGTGTGCAGTGAGTACGCACCGACTGCGAGCGCGGTGGGCCGCGCGTCCCCGGTGACCATCTTGACGACGACGGCGGCGCGGCGCAGCGTGGCGAGTGTGAGTGTGAGTGTGAGTGTGCAGTGAGTACGCACCGACTGCGAGCGCGGTGGGCCGCGCGTCCCCGGTGACCATCTTGACGACGACGGCGGCGCGGCGCAGCGTGGCGAGTGTGAGTGTGAGTGTGAGTGTGCAGTGAGTACGCACCGACTGCGAGCGCGGTGGGCCGCGCGTCCCCGGTGACCATCTTGACGACGACGGCGGCGCGGCGCAGCGTGGCGAGTGTGAGTGTGAGTGTGAGTGTGCAGTGAGTACGCACCGACTGCGAGCGCGGTGGGCCGCGCGTCCCCGGTGACCATCTTGACGACGACGGCGGCGCGGCGCAGCGTGGCGAGTGTGAGTGTGAGTGTGAGTGTGCAGTGAGTACGCACCGACTGCGAGCGCGGTGGGCCGCGCGTCCCCGGTGACCATCTTGACGACGACGGCGGCGCGGCGCAGCGTGGCGAGTGTGAGTGTGAGTGTGAGTGTGCAGTGAGTACGCACCGACTGCGAGCGCGGTGGGGCGCGCGTCCCCGGTGACCATCTTGACGACGACGGCGGCGCGGCGCAGCGTGGCGAGTGTGAGTGTGAGTGTGAGTGTGCAGTGAGTACGCACCGACTGCGAGCGCGGTGGGCCGCGCGTCCCCGGTGACCATCTTGACGACGACGGCGGCGCGGCGCAGCGTGGCGAGTGTGAGTGTGAGTGTGAGTGTGCAGTGAGTACGCACCGACTGCGAGCGCGGTGGGGCGCGCGTCCCCGGTGACCATCTTGACGACGACGGCGGCGCGGCGCAGCGTGGCGAGTGTGAGTGTGAGTGTGAGTGTGCAGTGAGTACGCACCGACTGCGAGCGCGGTGGGGCGCGCGTCCCCGGTGACCATCTTGACGACGACGGCGGCGCGGCGCAGCGTGGCGAGTGTGAGTGTGAGTGTGAGTGTGCAGTGAGTACGCACCGACTGCGAGCGCGGTGGGGCGCGCGTCCCCGGTGACCATCTTGACGACGACGGCGGCGCGGCGCAGCGTGGCGAGTGTGAGTGTGAGTGTGCAGTGAGTACGCACCGACTGCGAGCGCGGTGGGGCGCGCGTCCCCGGTGACCATCTTGACGACGACGGCGGCGCGGCGCAGCGTGGCGAGTGTGAGTGTGAGTGTGAGTGTGCAGTGAGTACGCACCGACTGCGAGCGCGGTGGGGCGCGCGTCGCCGGTGACCATCTTGACGACGACGGCGGCGCGGCGCAGCGTGGCGAGTGTGAGTGTGAGTGTGCAGTGAGTACGCACCGACTGCGAGCGCGGTGGGGCGCGCGTCCCCGGTGACCATCTTGACGACGACGGCGGCGCGGCGCAGCGTGGCGAGTGTGAGTGTGCAGTGAGTACGCACCGACTGCGAGCGCGGTGGGGCGCGCGTCCCCGGTGACCATCTTGACGACGACGGCGGCGCGGCGCAGCGTGGCGAGTGTGAGTGTGAGTGTGAGTGTGCAGTGAGTACGCACCGACTGCGAGCGCGGTGGGGCGCGCGTCCCCGGTGACCATCTTGACGACGACGGCGGCGCGGCGCAGCGTGGCGAGTGTGAGTGTGAGTGTGAGTGTGCAGTGAGTACGCACCGACTGCGAGCGCGGTGGGGCGCGCGTCCCCGGTGACCATCTTGACGACGACGGCGGCGCGGCGCAGCGTGGCGAGTGTGAGTGTGAGTGTGAGTGTGCAGTGAGTACGCACCGACTGCGAGCGCGGTGGGGCGCGCGTCGCCGGTGACCATCTTGACGACGACGGCGGCGCGGCGCAGCGTGGCGAGTGTGAGTGTGAGTGTGAGTGTGCAGTGAGTACGCACCGACTGCGAGCGCGGTGGGGCGCGCGTCGCCGGTGACCATCTTGACGACGACGGCGGCGCGGCGCAGCGTGGCGAGTGTGAGTGTGAGTGTGAGTGTGCAGTGAGTACGCACCGACTGCGAGCGCGGTGGGGCGCGCGTCGCCGGTGACCATCTTGACGACGACGGCGGCGCGGCGCAGCGTGGCGAGTGTGAGTGTGAGTGTGAGTGTGCAGTGAGTACGCACCGACTGCGAGCGCGGTGGGGCGCGCGTCGCCGGTGACCATCTTGACGACGACGGCGGCGCGGCGCAGCGTGGCGAGTGTGAGTGTGAGTGTGCAGTGAGTACGCACCGACTGCGAGCGCGGTGGGGCGCGCGTCCCCGGTGACCATCTTGACGACGACGGCGGCGCGGCGCAGCGTGGCGAGTGTGAGTGTGAGTGTGAGTGTGCAGTGAGTACGCACCGACTGCGAGCGCGGTGGGCCGCGCGTCCCCGGTGACCATCTTGACGACGACGGCGGCGCGGCGCAGCGTGGCGAGTGTGAGTGTGAGTGTGAGTGTGCAGTGAGTACGCACCGACTGCGAGCGCGGTGGGCCGCGCGTCCCCGGTGACCATCTTGACGACGACGGCGGCGCGGCGCAGCGTGGCGAGTGTGAGTGTGAGTGTGAGTGTGCAGTGAGTACGCACCGACTGCGAGCGCGGTGGGCCGCGCGTCCCCGGTGACCATCTTGACGACGACGGCGGCGCGGCGCAGCGTGGCGAGTGTGAGTGTGAGTGTGAGTGTGCAGTGAGTACGCACCGACTGCGAGCGCGGTGGGCCGCGCGTCCCCGGTGACCATCTTGACGACGACGGCGGCGCGGCGCAGCGTGGCGAGTGTGAGTGTGAGTGTGAGTGTGCAGTGAGTACGCACCGACTGCGAGCGCGGTGGGCCGCGCGTCCCCGGTGACCATCTTGACGACGACGGCGGCGCGGCGCAGCGTGGCGAGTGTGAGTGTGAGTGTGAGTGTGCAGTGAGTACGCACCGACTGCGAGCGCGGTGGGCCGCGCGTCCCCGGTGACCATCTTGACGACGACGGCGGCGCGGCGCAGCGTGGCGAGTGTGAGTGTGAGTGTGAGTGTGCAGTGAGTACGCACCGACTGCGAGCGCGGTGGGGCGCGCGTCCCCGGTGACCATCTTGACGACGACGGCGGCGCGGCGCAGCGTGGCGAGTGTGAGTGTGAGTGTGAGTGTGCAGTGAGTACGCACCGACTGCGAGCGCGGTGGGCCGCGCGTCCCCGGTGACCATCTTGACGACGACGGCGGCGCGGCGCAGCGTGGCGAGTGTGAGTGTGAGTGTGAGTGTGCAGTGAGTACGCACCGACTGCGAGCGCGGTGGGGCGCGCGTCCCCGGTGACCATCTTGACGACGACGGCGGCGCGGCGCAGCGTGGCGAGTGTGAGTGTGAGTGTGAGTGTGCAGTGAGTACGCACCGACTGCGAGCGCGGTGGGGCGCGCGTCCCCGGTGACCATCTTGACGACGACGGCGGCGCGGCGCAGCGTGGCGAGTGTGAGTGTGAGTGTGAGTGTGCAGTGAGTACGCACCGACTGCGAGCGCGGTGGGGCGCGCGTCCCCGGTGACCATCTTGACGACGACGGCGGCGCGGCGCAGCGTGGCGAGTGTGAGTGTGAGTGTGCAGTGAGTACGCACCGACTGCGAGCGCGGTGGGGCGCGCGTCCCCGGTGACCATCTTGACGACGACGGCGGCGCGGCGCAGCGTGGCGAGTGTGAGTGTGAGTGTGAGTGTGCAGTGAGTACGCACCGACTGCGAGCGCGGTGGGGCGCGCGTCCCCGGTGACCATCTTGACGACGACGGCGGCGCGGCGCAGCGTGGCGACGGCGGCGCGCACGGTGGGCCGCGGGGGGTCGCACACGCCGCACACGCCGGTGTACGTCAGCACCTCCAGGCTCTCCCCGCGGCACATCGCGATCGTGCGCAGACCTGACGGTCATAGTCGAATGTACTGTCTCACTATATCACAGTTCGCAACTAACACAGTCTTAAACTAAATCATACATAAATGTACCATCTCACTATGACATAATCGTAAACTAAACTAGCTACTCGCCCCGGCTTCGCCCGGGTATTAAATATATAAACCTTACTGTGAATTACTCTATCTGTTAAAAAAATCGCTTGATCCCGATGACACAGTCCTAAACTAAATCATACATAAATGCACCATCACACTAAGCCACATTCCTAAACCAAATCATACACAAATGTACCATCACACTATGACACAGTCCTAAACTGAGTCATACACAAATGTACCATCACACTATGACACAGTCCTAAACTAAGTCATACACAAATGTACCATCACACTATGACACAGTCCTAAACTAAGTCATACACAAATGTACCATCACACTATGACACAATCCTAAACTAAGTCATACACAAATGTACCATCACACTATGACACAATCCTAAACTGAGTCATACACAAATGCACCATCTCACTATGACAGTCCTAAACTAAATCATACACAAATGCACCATCTCACTATGACACAATCGTAAACTAAATCATACACAAATGCACCATCTCGTTATGACAGTCCTAAACTAAATCATACACAAATGCACCATCTTACTATAACACAGTCCTATACTAAATCATACATAAATGCACCATCTCACTATGACACAATCGTAAACTAAATCATACACAAATGCACCATCTCATTATAGCCAACAGACGGTGGCGGCGCCTTAATTTTATAATATGTAAAGATGTTTGATACTACATTTGTGCCGTCAAACATATACAGCTATGTATCGGTTGGAGGGTGAAATGAGAAATTTAGTACGCCGACATAACAAATTCGTCATAATGAATGGCAATACATAACTAGTAACAAAGACATCATGACTTGATAGTCATGTTTTGTATTTGCAATTTGAATAAGGAGGCCCACCAATCCAATTACATATATAAAAAAGTAAACTTACCCATTCTCCCAATGTTGTAAGCTTCACTAAGGAAGTCGTTCTGCTTGTCCTTGCTCATGGGCGCGTAGTTGCCGGCGCTATCGATGTATCTTGTGCACAGAGGCAGCACTTTCTCTATGGCACCCTTCACAAATACTTCCTCCTTCGGCTTGCCATCGGTGGAGAATTTCGGTGCACATTTAACTACCATCATTTTCGTTTCCGAACTATGGAGGAGAATTGATAACATTAATTTTAAAAATCACAGTCTCGTTTCTGCTTTTAAAAATAATTTAAAACATTCCATTTTTTTGTAAATACATATATTATACAATGAAAATTATAGTCACGAATACAAATGTTTTTATCATGCAAGAATCGAAGCCACATCGGAAGTAAGTCTCTACACTAAACGACCAGATAACTAGGCCATCAAATGAAAATTTTTAGTAACTGGACTATTTGAGTTGGTTTTTGATGGCGGGGCACTAGTGAAGAATGATAATATGAACATGAAGTAATGTCAGTTAGCCAGTATCGTGGTAAATTGCTTTTGGCAAGTTGGTTTACAGAGGTACCATCGTGGTAAATTGTTACATGGAGGTCAAACTGACATCATCCTTTACGGGAGGCCGAGTGGCCGGCCTGCATGTGGACTGGTAACCCAATTTCCACCTCCACATTACTAACAATCCATACCCCGACCATTGAAGTTGTCTAGTTTCTAATTTGTCACGATGGTCTAACTGACCCATTCATCATCCTCTACCAGCAGGCCGGGTGGTCCGCAAGCGCAAACAGTTAGCGCATTTGTTATTCCATTATCATTCATAAAAAAACTATACCTGAACGGTATCTCATGCAGTCTGGTGTACTGGTCCCGCACGTCCTCCATTCCATTTTTCATGGCGCATGCTACTAGCGCGCCCTCCGTGGGCTGTCCATACAAGGTGTCATTGCGGATGACCGCGTTGTTACACAACACTGCCACCTGGCGGCGGAAAGACGGCACGTGAGAAGACGTTACATAATAATAAATTACGATACATCAATGTAACACTTTTATTTAATAATGGCTAGTAAGACAAATTAAATATTGTCTACTAAGCACTGTCGTGTCTAAACTGTATCACCCCACCTTACATTTTCCTATTGTTATTTAGTATATAAGATCAAGATTAATATGTACAATTTATCAGTCTATTAGCATCTATAATATACATCGTCACAAGCGACAACACAGTATAATTACCCCGCAACAATGGTTGTAACACGAGGTGAAATTTCAGCCCAAGTCGAAGGCCTTCGACTTGACCTGAAACTCCGTTTATAACACACTTATATCGTAATATACTTTGACATTTTCGCCTTAAAACAATAGTTTTTTTTTCTTTAAGAATACCAATTTTTTCTTGTACTGGAAACAAAAAATATAGTATATAATAAGTATCTTTATTACCAATTAAATTTATTTATTATTTATTTTTGTGGTACATTTATACCTGTCTCAGAGAACCATGTATATTGTACCGTCAGCAAAATATCCATTGTAAATGCCGACTAACCTACCTATGTAGTAGGCATAGGAAGTGTTCGAGTAGAATGTATATATAGAGGAATACAAAATTTACATAATTAATTATTTATTAAAAAAATATATTTTAAAAGTCAACTCGTGACCACAGCTAGTGCTATATGAAACGTCGAGATAGGTAAATACCTTTATTTACCATAAAATTATTCGTTAAAACCCTTTTAACTATAATAACAATGTGTACTAAATGCGAAAGTTAAAAAATAACAATTGTACCACTTTTTAGACTTAACAAACACGTTAACGTGCAAATAGAAATATAGTATATACATACCTCTAACATGCTGTGCACACCCATCCTGGCCACGTCGAGGTCCCGTCCCTTATAAGCACGCAACTGTACGTCTCCACACGCGTTGTAACCGGTTCCCGTAACTTCCGCGATATGTCCGCCAGATGTGGATATTGTCGTCACTGTCATCTCATTTTTCGTCAGAGTTCCTATAAAAATTATGTAATTAATTATAATGTAGGTGCGGGGAGTCGAATTTATATTTAAATTTATAGTGTACATTTTTATTGATACTTCAACATGTTGTCAATCGTCCATACAAATCTTCGTATTCCTAATATTTTTCTTTTTTTCTATTTACGTTTATGGACGTGTGTGTACACGCTCCTTGAGGGTTAGAATTTGGGAGCTTCAATGATAGACTCGACGGACAGAATAGAAGTGTGTTTTTATTGTAAAAATATTCGGGCAAAATGGTGTATAAGCATTTTACACGTGCCGCTTTTAAGCGCAGCTGCAGGTAACGACGGCTTGAAAGTCGCGCAGCTGCGTTACACGTGCCGTGCGATAAGGATTCTAGGAAGTGGATGGTGGCACGTGTAGAAACTGTGTTGCTACATAACCCCCCCTCAAGCGAAGCGTACATTGGGCTTGCTTGTTCGATCAAATCTTGTGACATGTGGGCTGCGTGGTAGAGTCGGAGTAGCGGTAGCGGCACGTGTAGAAACTGTGTTGCTACATACGTATATATATAAAAAAAACTATAACAGATACTGACCGGTTTTATCGCTGCATATAACATTAACGCAGCCCAGGGTCTCCACCGTGGGCAATTTCTTGACAATTGCGTTCCGTTTGGCCATGCGCATCACACCCAGAGCTAAGGTCACTGTCACCACTATAGGTAGACCTGGAATAGGAATTAGGCGTCACTATTTATGTTTTTACTACCTGACCCTGAATTAAAATTGCTATTAAAAATACGGGTTAATGGTAGAAGGAAGAAAATTTTGAGTTGTATATATTTTATTATTTTTTTTATATAAACCTCCATCACTGTACAGTTTGATGCAGTCGTGACTCCCAAACTAGTTAGTTTGGGAGTCAGGACTAGTTAGTTTAAAACTAGTTTAGAATCATTTAGTTTGAGCTGTATATCAGGAGTAAGTTCCTTCCCAAAACAAGGATAACAGTTTTAATTTTAATAAATTTTATGTATTTTTTAATGCCACATTATTGAAAAGTGTAAAAAAATGTTAAAGGTAGACAACTCTTATCACTTAGAGGTATGAAAAATTGATAGTAGCCCATTCTCATACCTACTGAATATGCATATATAATTATATAAAACTGGGTCAAGCCATTTCGGAGGAGTATGGTAACTAACTTTGTGACACCAGAGTTTTATACATAACTAGCTGTCCCGGCAAACGTTGTTTTGCCATATAAATTAATAACGCTATAAAAAATAGGAGTTGATGATAGAAGGGTGAAAATTTAGGATTGTAATTTTGTATGTTGTATCATAAAAAAATAGAAACTAAAACTTTTTTTTTTTCTAAAAAAAAAATTTAGGGGTGGACTACCCCTAACATTTAGGGGAATTAAAAATAGGTGTTGGCCCATTCTCAGACCTACTCAATATGCTCACAAAATTTCATGAGAATCGGTCAAGCCGTTTCAGAGGAGTATGGGAACGAAAACTGTGACACGAGAATTTTATATATAAGACTAGCCGTCCCGGCAAAATTTGTTTTGCCTTAAAATAAAAAAAAATTAGGGGTGGAATACCCCTAACATTTAGGGGGATGAAAAATAGATGTTGGCCGATTCTCAGACCTACTCAATACGCTCACAAAATTTCATAAGAATCGGTCAAGCCGTTTCGGAGGAGTATGGGAACGAAAGGTGTGACACGAGAATTTTATATATAAGATATAAGACACTCTCTCCGTCTGTGTGTCCTCTTATCGGTTGTTATTTCAGATGGAGAAGTCATGGTCAGTATAACTATATTTTTTATGGATACTAAAAATATATTTAGTAATAAAAAATCAATAACAGGAATAGTGAAACTAATGTTATAACAATATCTTCATTGTTATTGTTATGAGACAGCGGGCCATGTCTAATGGAAACAAATGGAGCTATTTAGTAGCATCTCTGAAGTCATACCTAAAATTGTGTATGGAATGAAAACAACTTATACAACTATCGTTATTGTAGATTTATTTGTTGATTTCGTACAAGAAATAGTTTAAAAACTTGTATTTACGTGTTGTAAATATCTAGTTCTTGAACTCAAATCGACTTAAAAAATCATTTATTCCCATAGGACATTTTAGCCACTTACAAATGCAAAATTGTTAGTATTATTTTTATTTCCTTAGACCAGTTTAGTACATACATTCAATTGAGAAGAACTGACAAGAAACTCAACTGAATTTCTTTTATTTTAAAATCTAGTTCATTTACACTGTGTACTTATATAGATGTTTATGTCTCACATTAAATAAAAATCCCATGTAAGAATCCCGCATGAACAACTATTGCCATGCCAACTATAACTAACGGAATATAAAGAAGTTTCGTGCCCTTATGAGTTTAGTTAGAAGAGACAAAATGGCAGGGCGTAATATGTATGAAGGTCATTTCTTTATTTCTTTTTATTGAGAAGCAACTGGTCATCAGAATCTGTTCCAAGCTCTCGGCCTTAATATAGCCACAATAAACGTGAATGTTTGAGAACCACTGGCATAAATAAAATCACTCACCTTCCGGTATTGCTGCAACCGCAAGACTGACACCAATCGTGAACATATCCTGCAGAGCCTTCCCTTGCAACCAGCCGGTGACCATGATGAAGCCGATGATGCAGAACGAGTACATAGACAGCTGGGCCCCGAGGGTGTCCATCGACTTCTGGAGTGGAGTCTTGGGGGCCTCTTCGGCTTGCATCATGCGGAATATGTCCCCAAATTCAGACCTCTCGCCAGTGCTCACTACTATACCCTGTAAAAAAATTATTTGTAATGATAGTACAGCCTGTTATGACATTATGTTATATAATTTCAACAAATTTACTACCACCCCACACCCCGTTGCACACCGATGCACAAGTGGGGGTAATTCAAAGTGAGGGGCAACACTCCCTTTTTACTACTGGCCAACATTTATACAGGTAAAATTTCGTGTTTTCATATTAAAATACAGATATGAAGTAAAAATTTACAAGACCCTTCCAAGGGTACTAAAGAGGTCCTAGAAGTAATTATTTTTTACATGAACTATGTGACTCTTCTAACTCTTTGTCACATAATATTACAGTTTCTAAGTAAGACGAAATTGGTCGCTCTAACAACGATATAGGCCTGCCCCTTCTACACCATCTACCGACCACCAACGCCACTAGAGTCGCGTAGATTGATAAAGTAACCTCTGTCCTCGCGACTCTGGCAATGGCACTCGTAGGTACTCCGGGTGGTTTTTTTACTGGGTTAGATCCCACACTCGACATACGTCTGACGGGGAAAACTCACCTTAGCATTCCCGCATCGAACCAAGGTACCCATAAACGCGATGTTATCCTTATTGACTCTGCCTGCTGTGGCTTTGGTTGGCATTACATTCTTAACCGCCGGCTCCGTCTCTCCCGTGAATGAAGATTCATCAATAGCAAGGTCGGTAGCATCGAAGAGTCGAAGGTCAGCAGGCACACGATCACCAACGTTCAGGTGCACTATGTCGCCGGGTACGAGACTTCTTGCCAGGAAATGTTCTAAATTGCCTTCTCGGAAACTGAAAAGATTTAAATTTACACATTCACAATGTATGTAAAGGGAGGGGACGCCCTAAGAAAAGATGGATAGATTGTGTGAAAGATGATATGAATAAAAGAAGAGTATGTTTAGATATGACGACCGATAGAGAGCAGTGGAAGAGAATGACATACTGCGCCGACCACAAATAATGGGATAAAGGCAAGGCAATGATGACATTCAATAAAATCGTGAAGGATGTATGTTTGTACATTAAATGTTAGAAAAAAAATACATTTATTTATTCCTTTGCATTCCATAATGTCATAACAAAGATTGACATAATTTATTATAAGAGCTCTATGGACCTTGATAGGCCCTGATAGGCCTGATATAGTGGCTTTAACAGACATTTAGGCCTGTTAAATATTTTATTTTGGTATTTTGTATAATATTTTTCTGATCTACGTGTAAAAACCGTATCGATTTTATTCCATTTTTTTATTTTTCCATTACACTAACTAAATGTCAGGTAGACATTCAGTTAGCCCATCCACACGGTACACCTGGAAATTATGCCTAATTTCTAACGATGGGCCTGACTTTATGTTCAACCTATCTTCCCCTGGAGCTCCGTCAGCGAACTCCGTTAAAGCATCATTCCACATTCTATGTCGGTCTGTACTGTTTGTACCTGGATAGGACCGCGATAGATATATATTTTTTAAGGATGAATGTGGAATGAAAATTACCCAGACCAATACAAAATCATACTCGTGAAAATGACAGATAAATAATAGATTGCTTACAGTGCGGAAGTTACTAATTTACGTGCTCAATAATATAGTATAACTAGTAATATTATTTTCATTACTAGGTACAAAATAGCATATTAAACGGTCGGAACGCACAATTGCCGTGTCACGTGTTACACTGTAATTTAGTTTACGAGATACACTGCACACACACACACACACAAGACTAATTATTCCGCTCCTATTGGTCGTAGCATGATGCTATATAGCCTTTCTCGTTAAATGAACTATCATCTCAGTTGTATAGAGATTACTCCGAACATCCAAACTCACAACTTTACTACCTTATAATATTAGTATCGATATATTTATATCAATTTTATTTTTAACTAGCTGTACACGCGACTTCGTCTGCGTGGAATGAAACTTTATTTTGCTAAAATAAAAGTAGCCTAAGTTACTCCTTATTACATCAGGTACCTGCCGATAAAAGTCCCGTCAAAATCGGTCCAACCATATCAGCGATTAGCCGGAACAAACAGACAGACAGACACAAAAATTATAAAAACTGTTATTTCAATATTACAAACAGACACTCCAATTTTATTCATATGTATAGATATTTCAATATAATTTTGTCAACAGTATAAATACAAAATGGTCGTTTTAATAACTGTTGCATTACATATATAGGTCCATTATTTCTTATTATTGAGAAGAAATTGGTCAGTCGAATCTGTTCCTGGCTCGCGGGCTATAGGGCTACACATAAACACAACACACGCCAATAGTGATAAAAATAAACGACTTAAAATTACAAATAGTGATAATTACTAAGAAGCCAGCTGTATCTATCTCAAGGTGTTACTGTAATTTATCGTTAAAATATTCAGTTTTACAAGTAAACCATCGACCTCTGCTTGTTCCTAATCCCATTCACTTGGGATCGGCATTTGGTTTTCTCATACACACATTCCTGTTCGCAGTCTAGTGCTGTACAAACATTTCATCAGTACGATAGATTGTATCGCCCTGGGAGTTTTCTATGTATATTATATATGTTTACAAAAAATATATATTTACGTATTTATATCAGTTGTCGTAACCATAGCACAAGCTTTCCTTAGCTTATAACCGGATGACCCTATGTGAATTGTCCAGGGTTAAAAACAGTTTTTTTTAATTAATGAAATAGCTAATGAGCTGTCTGCCCACCAGTTGGTAAGAAGCAACCATCGCCAATACAAATGAACCGCATCATGACAATAGTTGATACCCCGGAACCCATTGCCACTCGTTTTATTCTCTTTTTATTTTATTTTGTTTTCTCTGTTCATTTTATTTATTTTTTATGTAATCAACAATTGATCTGGTATATTTTTATGAAAACAAACTACAATACCTTAATTCGTCTGATATGTCAAATCTACTGTACTCACTGATCTTTAATAGTTAATAATTATTTGGCAATTCTTGTGAACTCCCGCGATACAGGTTCGCCTAGTGCGGGGTCAAATTTATAATCAACTTTATAATATTTGTCCTTTTGAAAATGAATAAATGGATGACTAAGCCGAAATGCATCCGTATGCTGTTATTGGACTAAAAAATCGTGTGTGAGTACCTCTCCTATTTCAGCCCCCAAGTAGCTTGCTTTGTAAGTTGTATATTGGTTTTAAGGTGCTGATCAGGCAGTGAAATTACAGGATAATGCCCATGGCGCCTTAATCCTCTTGAATGGCGGTTTAGGAGTGGTATCACGGCTGTATAAGCAACTGTTAGCACATGCCATCAGTTATCATTATCAGCTTGTTTGGCATTCAATATTAAAAAATATATAAAACAATTTATGGTATCAAAACCAAGTTTCAATGTAATAAACATTATGAGTTCGACATACCAGTTGCACGACGGCGGCACCAGTTTGTTAAGCTCCTCAAGCGACTTCTCAGAGCGGTACTCTTGTACGAAAGCTACCGTCACCACTATGATGATGGCGACCGTTATTGAAATGGCGTCATCAAATTGCCGCATACAAATACTGACGACGGCAGATCCTGTGAACAAACCAAATATACATATTAATCATCATCATCATCTCCTTCTTCCTTATCCCCTTATACATATTAATATGGAAACTAAAACTTTTTACCCCTTCTTACGAAAATTGCGAACAGAGGAGTACGAAATTTCGCACACTTACATAACTTAGTGGGAGAGTAAGAGAAAATAAGTACAGAATGCTAATGTTTTTTTTTACCCAGCCTGTTTTTACCATCCAAGCAAGACGGACTTGCAACAGAAAGCAAAAGACGACGGATATTCTAAATGTTAAGTTTGAACGAAATTTTAATATCTATGAAACCATCAATAACTATTGTCGACAGGGTACAATAGTTTTAGTTATCAAATATGCGAAACTGACAAGAAGACACTTCCGTATCTATAACTTTGGAGTGATTCTCAGATCCTTAGGATGGGTATGTTTCCTACCATGTAGCCCTCTTTTTACAATATCTCCCCCTACTGATCTCTTAACGACTACTCGTAGTATACGCCATGACATTCCCTCTACTCTCTAGTTAAAGAATTACTATGATAAAAATGTTGTTTATTCTAAAAAGAAATATATTATTAATAATAATATTTCTATTTTTTTTTGACAATTCACATAGCACCGTCCCAAGTTAAGCTATATAAAGCTTGTGTTACCGTTACTAGATAACTGATACAAAAACATACATTTTTTTTCCTAAATATATACATATTATACATAGAAAACACCCAGACCGATACAAACAATCATACTCATGAATACAAATGTTTGTGCCGTGCGAGGAGTCGAACCCGCCGCCATGGGACGTAAAGCGGTGTGCTAGACCGCTGGACCACCGAGGTCGTCTCTTCATTAGATAAATAAATTCATTATTAACCAATTACATAGGCATACAGAAAAAAGATGTACAAATAAAAAAATAAAATAGAGGTGACTTTAGGAGACGCAAAGGTTAGGCTACTAACACAGCCTGAAGTTACAGATAAATCTGCAGCGCTGATATTCTGTTGGCTCATTTACCTTACAACTAAAATTATCTTATACATAAAATTCTCGTGTCACTATATTAGTTACCATACTCCTCCGAAACGGCTTGATCGATTTTTATGTAACTTTATACGCATATTCAGTAGGTCTGAGAACCGGCTATTCGTATATCTATTTTTCGTATCCCCTGAGTGACCAAACATTTTTTTTAATTTTTGGTTTTTTTTTTAATTAAACAATACATACAATCCCAATTTTGCATCCTTCTACCATCAATCCCTATTGTTTTTTTAATAGCGATTTTTATTTATATTGCAAAACAACGTTTGCAGGGTCAGCTAGTATATGTATGTATAGGTATTAAACTACGAGCTCTTTAATATGTAATTAATAGATGAAAGCTAATTTCCCTAGAGGATAGTAACTGCATTCCGCCACATGTGACTATACGTAGTATATTGAAGACCGCTTGGTTTCCACTTCTTTGAAGTCGGACGACTAGTCTATCCACGTGCCAACTACAGCCATGAACTTGTAGTAAATTACAATATTTTTTTGGCCAACGCTAACATAAACAGGGTGATAAAAATAATTGCAATTAATAAACATTCCGTGCTCACTCGTGTAGCAAATTCGCTTCACAGACGAAACAAGACGAATCGCAATGTACTAGGAAATCCAATAAAAGACTCCTATGAAGATGGATTTAGACTGAAAGCACAAAGAATGCTGATAAAAATGTAATATATAAAATTATCTTGTGCAATAAACATTCTCCGAAACTCCTTTTCTTTTAAATTTTTGTGTGTATTTTCAGTAGGTAGGACAAAAATAGGATGTAAACTATTTTTCGTACTAAAGTTATAAGGGTAAACGGCAATTTTCTTTTTATAACAGACTCTTTCACGCAATAACTACAGAATTTATTTTAATGAATTTTACAATAGTACAGCATACTAGCTGTGCCCGCGATTGAAATTTACAGCCTGTGTAATTCAGATGTATAAGCTTATACATGAATTATGATGAAAATTTACAGTAATCTAGCTAGATTACTGTAACGTTTCATCAAAATCCGTTCAGTAATTTTTGCGTGAAAGAGTAACAAATCATAAACTTTCGCGTTTTATATTTTTATTTCATTATAATAATATAGGATACATCCTAATAACACATAGGCTATAAATATAACGCGTGTGAGACGCCGTTATAGTAAAGAATATACAAGAAGAGAGCGTATCGCCCGTCCAGTCTAAATCCGCCATAATAATAAACTCGACCAACCGTGACGTTGCTAGCAAAAAACATGGCAACCAGTTTTGTAAGTGCATCCCATGGTTATTCAGTGACAATGACCCGCACTTAACATACATTGTAAACGGAACTAGTATCATTATAGAAAACGTTGCAAACACTTCACTTCTAAAGTTCAATGTCGGTTATTGAATTTCAAACTCAACTTCATTCATCATCTGCCTTATCCCATTTATTTGGGGTCGGCGTAATATGTTTTTATCTTCCATTCATCCCTGTTCGCAGTCATATTGTTTACTCCCTTTCTTACCATATCATCTTTCACAAAGTCCATCCATATATTTTTCAGCCTTCATCTGCCCTTATAACCATCCACATTCATATGAGTAATTGAGTTTCTTGCGAATCCTCATCGGATCTGTATACCGAACTGGACGGTAGTGAAAAAATTAAAATTATAATGTAAAAAATTTGACGTTCATAAGCGGCTAAAATGTCCTACATGAATAAATGATTTTTTAATTTGAATTTGAATTTATGTAACACCTTCCCTGATATTATCAAACCCAAGTTCATTCATTGATTATTAATTTGCCGAGAAAGGCCCTAACTTGGTAGCCAGTTCTCAATAATGACCTACAGAAATCGGAAAAAAAACGACTCGACACAGGACCGATGTGGCTGGCGAAGGACTACGAGAGCCGACCCCAAATGGAATGGGGAAAGGCTAGGCAGTGAGAGAAAGTTATCAATTTTTCATGTATTTATTGTGTAGGACTAATTGAAACTCACAAGTTATAATAACACACAAAAGATGACGTAAGAAAACGTTAAAACACTTGATACTGGACGATGAATTTATGAATATTATTGAGAGAAAAGTAGATGGAAAGAGGAGGAAGGGAAGACCAAGGCACAGTTACATCAAGCAAATGAAAGACAAAATTGGGGTCGTATCATATCAACATTTAAAGAGGATGACGGAAGATCGTGGTAAGTGGAATGAACTCCACCGACATGAACGCGGCTCGTCAATTATGAATGAATGATTCCATTTCTGTCAAAAAAATTAAATCTTTGATGTCGAATGTGATGTCTATGGTCATTCCCATGTATATAGGCAACGGCTACCGATTACCATCAAGTCACAATTACATTTTATAAAAAATATATAGGACACGATTACCATTTACCACCAGGTAGGCGCCGCCAATTTGTTCACCATTTAAACTACATTAAAACGTATGAACTTACCAAGAAGTAGCAGTATGAGAGGGTTCTGAAACTGTTCTATGTATTTCTTCCACAGCGGATCCTGCTCCTTGACCTGGAACTCGTTGGGGCCCACGAAGTTCATGCGATCGTTGGCCTCGCGCCATGATAACCCACGACGGATGTCGACGTTCAGACGCTCAGCCACCTGGCAAAAAAAGGGCAGGATTTTTGAAAATTAAAAAAAAATTAATACACATTTAGCTGACTGGACAAGAGTGAGTGAGAGAGAATATAAAAAGTCAGATATCGATACCACTGTCTCACCTTCTGCCATTAACATCTTGTATTTATTTTATTTAATTCGGATTACATCCATACTGTGTTAGTAAACAACGTATAAAACTATGTTAGTAACTTATACAAAGATATTTACACTTAATTCTATCTATGTATTTAGCATTTATATTTCTAACTAACCCGCGGAATCGTCCGCATCGTACATAGGCGATAACATTTTTTTTTATTAAACTAAATAAAATTCTTAAATTAAAAGTAGCCAAGTTTGTCCTTATAAGATTAACTATCTGCGAATGAAAGTCCCGTCAAAATCCCGTTTTCAGAAAGCTGTACTGTTTTTCATTATTATTATGATATCAGCAACAACAAATAGACTTTTTTTTAAATACTTATTTTAGTACCGTATATATGTACATTATATTCCAGTGCTTCGTTCTCGATATATATATTTACCATGTAGTTTCTTCAAATCACTAGGCAACATAACGCAATTTTAGAGCTAGATTCTAAAGCCTAAAAAAAAAAAAGAAAATTAAACGTTTCACTGTCAACACTTGTCATACTCTATAGACAATAGATTGATACTTGTCATTTAACATTCTTTACTTTGCGTGGCAACTATTGCGTCATAATTTTTAATTGTTCTTTAATTCTCAGTATTTTTTAATTGAAAACATATAACATTGAGTGTTTTTAGCATGCCGAAACGGAAAAATGAAGACAAAATACAGAAATACAAAAATAAAATACGACGTCTTGAAGAGAAACGTAATAAAGCTCGACGACGCAAATCATCATATTGCGTCTCGGATTCAGAAGAATCTATCCAATATAAACAGACAGGTAAGTTTTATATAGTAAATAATTACAGATATGCAATATCCCAATATACATTACAAAGGTTACGGGTACAAAAACTTGAACATGCAAGTTGCGTCATCCCTAGAAAATATCGTTGAGATATTACAAAGGTCGTCAGTACTAAAAACATGCAAGTTGTGTCATGCCTAGGGAATGTCCGTGAGACATTACAAAGGCTATTTGCACTAAAACTTGAATATAGAAGTTGCGTTAAGCAAGGCGATTATACTTAGTATAGTTACTATGAAAGGTGTCTGTTCTAAAACTGGAACATACATGCTGTATAAACCCTAGGGAGCATCCGAGAGATGTTACGAAGGGTATCACAATAAAAACTTGAACATGCAAGTCAAATTAAGCCTGGGAAGCATCCGTGAGATGTTGCGAAGGCAATGTTTACTAAAAACATAATATACAAGTTTTATTAAAACTGGTAAATTTAAAAAAGGGCTTTTCTAAATGTATTCACGCCTTTCAGATCAATCTGAGGAAAACAATTATACAGAATCTTTAATAGATGCTGTATCTATATGTTCACAAGGGACTAATCTGCCCTCAGATATAGAAAATATGGACCCAAACGTTATACAACAACAACTTCACAGAGATACTCAGATAAACCAACCGGGGGGTCCACTGAACAGTGCACAGGTGAACCAACTTTAAATAGTGATATATTGCAAGCTCTTGGTGATGCAATGGAGGAAAAGCCTCTATTCGGTGAATATATCAATAATTAGTTAGCAAAACGATGGAATAAAATAGCGAAAAATGGGTTAGATAAAGAAGTAAAAGAGTCATTACTGAAGCAGTATTTAATACCTGATAATTGCAAAACTTTGCAAGCTCCTAAGCTCAATCCAGAAATCATGGCCACAATTTCTGATACTGGAAAAAGACGAGATAAGAAAATAGAGGCTGATCAACAACAGTTAGGTCAGGGGATATCAGCTTTGAACAAGGCACTATCCTTGACAATTACCGACACAGGTGATAGTCTAAATGTAATAAAAATATTAAGTGGTGCCTCAAAAATATTAACAGACTTACATTGTCACCTGACATTTAGTAGGAAGAAAATAATCTCAACTTCCTTGGACAAAAAGTTTTTAGAAATTATAAAAGATATAGATAGAGATGAATATCTCTATGGAGAGAATTTATCAGAAAAAATAAACGCCTTGAAAACCCCAAAAAACTGGACAAACAATTAAAAAATCTGACAATATCAAGCCCTCAAACAGAAGAACATTAAATCCTAGCACTTCGGGAAATTTCCGGGGCCTGCCTCGATATGCAGCACCAAAACCCTTCAATCGAGGTGGGCCAAAACGCCTGATGCAACGAAACCTTCCATACAAACAGCAGCATTATACAACAAGGAAATCCAAACAAGAAATGAAACCTCCTGCTCGGAAGTAATGGTATGTCATGGTGGCAGATTATCACATTTTATCCAATGTTGGGAAAAAATCACTGATGATACTACAATCATCCAATACATAAGAGGTTATTCTATACCTTTCACCACTTTACCATTTCAAAACATTATTCCAAGTTCATTTCAGTATAATTTTGATATAGAGAAGCAGGATATGAAAATTGCTATTACTAAATTACTTAAATTAGGGGCCATTTCTGTTTGTGAGCCCCATCCAGGTCAATTCATTTCCTCTATTTTTTCTAATTCCTAAACCAAATGGCAGTAAAAGATTTATTTTAAATTTAAAACAGTTAAATAAGTTTGTAGCTACAGCACACTTTAAAATGGAAGATCATAGGACTGCGGCATCCTTGATAAATAAAAATAATTTTTTAGCAAAAATTGACCTTAAAGAATCATATTTGCTTATATCCATAAACCCAGAAGATCGAAAATTCCTTCGCTTTAAATATGATAGATTATATGAATTTAATTCACTACCATATGGCCTCTCCTCCGCTCCCTACATTTTTACAAAAGTCATGAGAGTAGTAGTCACATACTTAAGGAAAAAGGGATATAAGAATATAATCTATCTGGACAATTTACTGTGCCTAGGCACTACTTACCAGTCATGGTTAGAAAATGTTAAACAGACTATTTTTACTCTGGAATGCTTAGGATTTGTTATAAACTATGAAAAAAGTTTTTTAGTACCTTCCAAATTTTGCAATTTTTTGGGTTTTATTTATGATACAAGTAGTATGACAATGCAATTACCTTTAGAAAAAACATATCAACTTCAAAAGGTGACAAATAAATTCCTTAACATGTGTAAATGTACAATACGGGAATTTGCCCAACTTATAGGGTTGTTAGTGTCAGCCTGCCCAGCTGTACAGTATGGCTGGTTATACACCAAATATTTAGAACGTCATAAATACCTAGCTTTACTAAAAAATTTTAATAATTATGATTGTATTATGGATTTACACCGAGATACAAGGTTAGATCTTGAACGGTGGGCAAAAAATATATTGCTAGTATCAAAATCAATATTAGTCCGTAATTATGATATTGAAATTTATACTGATGCATCTAGAACGGGCTGGGGCGCGGTCTGTAATAACAGTAAAATTAATGGTGCATGGAAGAAAAATGAATATAAATTATCTAGAACTGCTAGCTATTTTTCTGGCATTGAAAACTTTTGTTAAAAACAAACAAGAAATTCAGGTTCTGTTAAGAGTAGATAATAAAACGGCTATTTCTTACATTAATCGTATGGGTGGTATTCAGTACCCACACCTTAATGACTTGGTTAGAAATATTTGGAAATGGTACGAAGAAAGGAAAATATGGCTCTTCGCCTCTTATATAAAATCTTCAGATAATGTAGAAGCAGATATAGAATCTCGAAAAACAAATACAGATATCGAGTGGGAATTAAATTCACGCGTTTTTAAAGAAATAATAAATAAATTTGGTACACCACAGGTGGACCTTTTTGCGTCTAGGGTCAACACTAAATGTCCCTTATATTTATCCTGGAAGCCAGATCCAGATGCATTAAATGTAGATGCATTTACTGTAAATTGGTCAAAGTATTATTTTTATGCCTTTCCACCATTTAGTCTAATTTTAAAATATCTAATGAAAATAAGATATGAAAAAGCCTCAGGAATCATAGTCGTGCCCTACTAGCCATCCCAACCATGGTTCCCCGTTATGCAGGAAATGTTGGTTTCTGATTTATTATATTTTGGGCCAGATAAAGATCTGTTATTGTCGCCTTACAGGAGCTGCCATCCTCTTCACCAGCAACTTATCCTGGTGGGCGGAATCTTATCAGGCAATCTATGATAAGACAAGCTATCCCCACTATCGCTTTAGATACTATGATAGCTTCACTATCAAAACACACACTAAAACAATATGATGTAACCTACAAAATATGGTGGGCTTTCTGTCAAGAAAACCAAATTAACCCTTTGTGTGCCTCAGTACCAAAAATAATACAGTTTTTAACAATTCAGTTTCAGAAAGGCTCTTCTTATGGAACCCTTAATTCTCATAAATCTGCTCTCTCTCTAATAATTGGTTCGCGTATAGGGAGGGATGAGCGTATTAAAAGGTTTTTACAAAACAAATCCTCCAAAACCGAAATACTCTTTTACTTGGGACCCATCTATTGTATTAAATACACTAAGAAAATGGCATCCTTGCATTTCATTACCGTTGGAAATTTTGACGAAAAAATTGGTTACATTACTAGCCTTATGTACAGCACAACGTGTACAAACACTTTCTTTAATAAAGATTAAAAATATATCTTATGTAGAGTCAGGTTTACATATAAATATCAAAGATATAACTAAAACATCTGCGCCAGATCGTTCACAACCGGTATTGGTCTTACCATTCTATACCGAACCTGAGATTTGCCCATCACTTACTTTACAGTTTTACATTAATTGCACCAAAGATATAAGAGGTGATGTTGAAGAACTATTTATAACCATTAAGTCGTTGGATAAAAAATGCGTTGACAAATTCTGGCATTAATACAGATATTTTTACGGGCCACTCTACTCGTCATGCTTCAACATCCATGGCCAAGATGA